GGTTGCTATCACTAATAATCAATGCTGACAGTTCGGTCCATTCAAGCAAACAATCAGGTTAATCACTTATAAATATTTCACCTTTAGAGTACCGGTGGTCATTAACAAAATGTGAATAACAATTCTAAATGAAAAGAGCGGCCAGTGTTTAAAAGAAGAGAGTGTGACAGAAAGGGGGATCTGAAACTTTCACCAGGTTGTACCTCAGCCTCTTCTCTTCTCCTCCTCTTCCTCTCCTCTCTCGCTTTCTTGCTTTTATGCCCACCTTTCTCCAGACAGCGTTTCGCTTTCTTGTTAAGGTGAAGTGAATGGAGAGCCACCCATCTCCAAACTCATTTGCAGACAGTCATTTTCTAATTAAAAAAGGGAGGGAGAAGACGGAGGTTAATAAACAAAGCAAGCACTCCACTGCAACCCCACGTCAAAAAGAAGTTCAGCTCACATTCTATTTAGTGAAGGGCAACAAAGAAAACATTGACTTGCAGCAGCTATTCCCAAAAAAGACATTAAATCACGGACATAATAAAGCAATTAAAGCAACTGAACTGTAATTTATTAGTCCTTCAATGATGTTGTTTGAAACTTAATGCAAGTAAACGTGGTTACAGTACGGAACGCAACCATGCAAACTACATTTATATGAACTTTAAATACGCCATGGTACACTGATACGACAACAGATGACAATGTGTACGGATCGTTACACAAAAATCATTACACTAAAGCCATCAAGTTTGGTACATATGTACTTTGACTGTACCGGCACACAGTAAACCAAAATATAAACAAAATTAAAATGTTTCTGAATTGTTCTAATAAAGAGAATGGATAGCGAGGGGAACAATGTCACATCGTTATCATACAAAAGCTGACTCGCGAATAAATTAGTCCAGGACTTCAGCTAGCTACACACCTAACAGCTACATAATGATATTGCAAGACTTGACTTGGAAATAAAGAAATGACTATAAAATGTGTAAAAGATGCCCGGGACGTAAATTAGTTGATACTTTTTGGTACACAGTGAATTAACTACACAACTACCGGTTCCCGAATCGGACTCCTTCTTTCAATCTTTTCAACAACAATCCGCATCAAACCAAAGCAACGTGCTACAATAACCATAGCCTCGCTACGTACTGACACTGGTAAGGCCGCAAAGCGCTTCCCATTGAACCACCTCTGTTTTAATGGCAAAATACCCGCTTTAAATGATACCATCCAACGCCCCGACTTTCTCCGTTACAAATTCGGGGTGCTAAATTTACCTTTGCTTCAACACACATGGCTTTCTCCGTCTGACAACACTATGCGAGTACAGGAAACGGCCAGTGCAGAGCAGGAACTAACATTCTTGCCAACACAGGCGTCGACAGTGTTCTTCGCTAGCATCATCCGTCGGCCTGCTATTGGCCCATTCCTGCGGTGACCGGCGCGATCCTGCCACACCATTGGCTGAAAGCAGTGTCGCTCAAACTGGTTGATGGGAAAAGCAGGGCGGGAGACGGAGATAGGCATCGGCCGTCTGAATGGTTCGGTTGAGCCGACAATAAATGAGGCCTAGTTGTAATCACTGGGAATTTTAAAGCCTGCCCGTCGGATTTTACACGGCACGCGCTGTCAAATGCCCAAACCGACGCGCATCCCCTATCGCGAGTGTCACGTGAATGAATCTGCACCGAGTAAACATACATTTCCCTCGTTTAACCAGCAGTATACATGTAACCAGAACAGCACATGTTTGCGATGTGTATCAGATTAATAAGCATCTTATTGCTGGTCATATATCAGTGGCGAAAAAAAAAGGTTAGCGCTGTACAGCCAAATGAATAAAGGCGTGAAACTGCATAGCTTTATCGAACGGCCGACAAACCTAATGGAAAAGGTGAAGTTTTAAAATAAAAATTAAAACAAATGAAGAATTAGTTTAATTTTTCATTGGCAAATATATTTTATTGATACTGGTACTGTCTGGAGTATTACAGTTGAACTAATTTAGGTTAAAAATGGGTCCAGTAATAACAGCTTTTAAATTTCTCGAGAAATTGTGTTTTTTTCCATTTGACTATTTCACAGTTAAACATCCAGTCATATAGTAAACTGGAATATTCCAATTAAAATTTGTAAAATTGAATTGCAATTTTTTAAATGCAAAACCTAGCTGCAAAATTCATTGGAATTAATTGAAATGTTAAAACTGGAAAGTGTATAATTAAAGGATTATATCAAATTAAATGCATTTGTCATACAATAGTGGTGAAGTTATCATGTAAAAATATGACTTCCTTCTAAATCACAGCCTCAGTGCACAATCTGTATCAACTGCTCTTTTTCCAGTCTGTAACAGGGCAGAATAGGGTTATGGGAATTTTAAATACAGTATTGAAATATAGTAATTTTTTGTCAGTATTCCTACCCTGCTCTTCATTTATAACAGAGTGATGACACTTCCGGCATCCTCATGGGGAAACAGTCTTTTTTCCTACCCATCATGCTCTCCGTGAGACAAACAGACACATTTACACTTGCGGACAAGCGTGAGGGTCAGAGCACAGAGTCAGCCAATGTCCCTGGAGTAATTTGGGGTTAAGAGGCAGAAGGGCCCTTTGGCGGGATTTAAACCAGCAAGCTTCTGACCATGGACACATGGACTAATGTACTGAGCCACACACCACCCTCTGCGATGTTGTACACAATCACAAATGGACCCCTGATATGACTGTCCTACATCAAACGTACATCAAACGTACATCAAAAGCCCATCCGCATGATACCACTCTTGATGTAGCAAAGATTACAACTCTGATCAAGTTTATAATATATATCCTCACACTATTGGTTGCCAGTACTATGTGAGCCCAGCAGACAATATGTCAGGCTATTTTAGTGCAATATGTCAGGCTACTGAACTTTGTCCATTAACCAAAAGAATTACAAATGTAATTTGTAACGGGTTGACCACTCGTAAGCTATCAGCAAAATAACCACTTCCTGGGTATTCAAAACAAGATTATTCTCCAAACACAACAGCCACGAACAGTCATACTTTATTTATTTAAATCCAGATCCTGCCAAGTGTATTTATAACATAAAATAGCACAAAGCGGAGTGACCCTGAAAAGCTGAGAGAGCAGAAATGACAGCGTTGCATGTGTGTGCCTGTCACAGGCGGCCAATTGGTGGAGACACAGCACAAATTTCCTGACAGTACTTGACGAAGAGGAATAGGCTCATGTATTTATAAACACAGATTTTGTGATTAAGTGTGATTTGGAGATTCGTATTAATCGATTTGTTTTTTTCATACTAGTAAGTTTCTCCAAAAATGAATCTCAATGTATTTAGTGCCATTCCATTAAGTAGTAAAGCGTATAAAGAAGTTTGGTAACACTATACTTGACGGGGCATCAATACTTAGTAATGAGTCAGTTACTACTGAAGTACAAATTATGAACAAATCATGAACAAATATAGTTGCTACTTGAGATAAAAGATGTGTCAGTAATGATGAACACACATGAGATCAGTATTCCACATGTTATTCATGACTTGTTCCTTCAGTAATTCACAAAGGTTTACAGAATTGACAGATATAGTAACAAATATAGTAACTGCCTGGGATGAAATGATTCATTAGTGAAGAACAAATATGAGATCAGTATTTAACGTGTCATTCAGGACTTGTTCCTTCAGTAGTTTACAAAGGTTTATGAGTAACAAATACAGTAACCGCTTGAGATAAAACATGCGTCACGATTTATTAATCATGAAATAACATGAGATCTGTATGTAACTAAGACTTAGGTTAATTAATACATAAGTAATAGCACTACTGTATTATTTGTGCCCTGTCAATTAAAGCGTTACCGAAAGTTTTAATTGTTTTATTGAATGTGAAGGTTCATGTCCTTATCGTTTAACTGTTCTCACATTTTCTGACCCATCACCTCAAAAACACAATAGTGCAAAGTAAGATGCTCTATTATAAATATGATACATTGTTGCAATAGTAATGTAATAGTAGTAATGAGGTTGTTAGGGGATAAGAGGCCAGCGAGCCCTAAGTGGAGGGAAAGAGCAGTTCAGGTAGCAGGTGTTGTGTATTAAGCGAGCATAGATTCGGATATGAGATAGAGCCAGACGCGCAGAGCGACATTTTTCCCTGCAGTCATGCAAGCTCGCTGATTACGTTAAACATATGTCAGAGTGTAAGTGAAGCAGTCGCAGTGCTGGCCATGCAGCCGCCAGAGGTGCAATCCTACTCGTGCTGCGGAGGTCTGCACCTTTGCAAAGTAGTTTGACCGCCATCTTTATTTATATGTCACGCAGCCAATACGAAATATGTCGCATCGTTTTTGGTGTACAATAAAAACAGGCAGGCCAGGGAATGCTGCGGTGAATTTTATCACTCAACTCTTGGAGGCTCTCTCTCCTTCCGTTTCAGTCAAAATGAAATAATTAAGAAGGTACTTTAAAAGCCCTCTCGGGTGGGTGGATCCTCCTGACTTGCACGGTTCCCCCGTAGCGGGCTCGAACGGCGTGGCTAACCAGTAGTGACAGGCCGCGGCAGTCAGCCCATGGGGGCCTGGCGGAGATTCTGGACCGGGCCCGCCAAAACCCCCATCTGCTGCCGGAACCACATAGGCGGGCAGCAGACGGTTAGCCACGTCGTCAGGGGTTGTTGCTCATTTTGTTCCCTGTGCTGCTCCCAGCTCCCTTCGCCAGTTCTGGTGGAGCAAGCTATATTTACAAACCACGGTCAGGTTAGCTGACAAATTGCCCAGAGCCAACCACAAACTGACCAGAAGGGAAGAAACACTGCTCTTTGCTGTTGGGTCGTCGCTTGACCTCTCAGTGTCAAGAGGAACTAAACAAATGAAAATGCAGGATTTGACCGGGTTAGGGTTAGTACACAAGTTCGGGTTAGGGTTAAGATTAGTACACAAGTTCGGGTTACAACTCACCTTTAAAATACACAGGTGCTCCAATGAACCGCAAAATTTCAATTGTTTTTATTATGCTTGGTTTATTTCAGTTATTACTCTCGATTCTTGTGGTGAAAGATACATGATGAGGAACAAATACAGGCAAAAATGAAAGACGGTTCTACACAAAGCCTAAACGGATATAAAAGGGATGTTTCCCAGAGCCGTGGGAATATCGGCAATTTATAACAAGTGGATCACTTTCAGGATAGAATCCCAATAATAACACACAAATTGCACTGGACCTAAATCATTCTCACATAATATATTAATAACATTCCAAACATTTTGTGTTAGCGCAAACAGGAAATAAAAATAGAGTACATTAATAGTAATGATGGCCAATTAGCAAGTATCAGGAATTGTTAGTTGGTTTTTCTCAAGCATCAATCAGGGAAATCTTAGTCAGTTTGATAACCAGACTAGCCAATCCTGTTTAACTATCAACATTTCTTAATTATAGTCTAAGAAACTTTCGTTAAATTGCACAGCTACCAAATCAGCCAATTCATAATTTCCAAAAGCGAACAGATGATTTAGTGGTATGGTAAATTAGATAGATAGATAGATCATTAGATGCAAGATTCAACGCACACGCAAACACCAGTGCTTAAATCCACCATAAAAGCTACTGTGTAGTACAGATAAGAATAATTATCTAGTAACCCCCACCCCCCCCCACCCCAGACACACACCCCGATATCTATATTTTTTGTCTACCTCATCTTTACTTTGGGTTCTCACTTGTGTGAATTTCTCCATATGTCTTTGTAAAACAGCTCTGTTATACGTATTGCATTCTTCCTCCACTCACACCATTCTCCCATCCCTCCTAATCTCTCCCGCTGCCTCGATGTCAAGCTCCCCCCCCACTTCCAGATGGGCTCCCCCGTCTCTCGCTTCCAATCCCGGAATCGATCCCGTCCCCTTTCCCCCACAACCCACCCTCGGCTCGCTCTACAGTGGGAAGACCAGGAAGCCGGAGAAGGTGGAATATTTCCAGCCTCCCATGAGGTTGCCTCTCTCCAACTTGAGGTAGGCCTTGTCTCCTCTCTCCATGATGACCAGGCCTGCATTGGTCGCCGCCTCCCTGGTCACATCCTGGTCACCAGCGAAGGCTGAGATCATGGGCCAGCCATTCAACATCAGACTCACCTGGGCGAGAGTTCAGACGTGATTTCCGTTACACTTCGGGGGACATTTCCAGTTTACTAAAGCATTTCTTAGTGTGTGAAATGTTAACATTGTGCCAGTGAAGTACTTTGAGTGGAGTGAAGTCATAAGGTTTGGAAAAAAAACCAGCAAGCTATTATTCATATTCATGAATGCACCATTAAACAGCCCCAAGGAGCAACAAGGATAAAGGGTCTATTATGGCAAATCTATTGATAATACAGCACTGGCAAATCTACTTTGCACAAAAGAGAGTGCAGCAAACTAAAGGTGAGGAAAGGAACTGTACACTCCGGCACAAAGCACAGGCAACAATGGCTTCAAATTTACTGTGGAGGCTCATCTATCAATCAGCCCCAGATGCTGTGGCACTCAGCTGTTAGGTATATTTTTACTTATTACTTAATGTCCCACCGTGGTTTCAACGTTGTACAAACAACGTAAAAATAAAATATAACGCAATACAATATATAATAGAAAATGAAGTTGTGTTCAAGTTACTAACTAAGGATCTCAGTGACTGAATCAGTGTGTGAACTGCAAAAATGTAATTTTAATACCAGACATGGTTCTGAGGAATATAAGCCAACTGCATGTGTGAAAAACTAACGTCAGATAACCGAACAGGTGACAAGTAACAGCATGGGCTGTTTATATATAGGAAGGCCTAGTTGTGTTTATCTGTCTGTCTTACTTACTTGTATCGTCTGTCGGTTGTAGGCCTTGACCACATGAAAGTTGAAGCTATAGACCCCCCTTCGCGGGGCCAAAAAGATGCTGCTCTCTTGGTCAAAGTGACTGCCCACGTTTACGAGTATCTGGGAAGAGGAAAGGTGATGTTTTATTGACATTTTTCTCCAGAAGAACTTTTTGTTATATATATAACATTCATACAGCTGGATATTTTACTGGGACACTTCCGGCCAAAGGTACAACAGAAGGAACCTCCCAGGACGGATATCCTATCGTGTTTTGTGCTCTCAGCCATATAACCTGTCGCCCTACATGCAGTCCAGTGGGCGATAAGAGAAAACGAGATACAGCCGTAGAAATTTCACAATTGTTATTGAAGGCAGGGTTCACAGATATTAGGGTTAATTGGGGCGGCTCACCTGGTCGAAGTAGATGATCATGGTTCGGTTGCTCATGTCGGTCGGCTCGTGGTTGGTCTGCCGGGTTGCAGAGAAGGCCACGCGCCCGGTGCCGGAGCGCACGGACATGCCCAGCGCGTTGCCCGCTGGCTCTGAGGACGGCGTTGAGTCACACACCACCAGACATTTCCCCTCCAGCACAATGGGTTCCGTGTCATTCTGGCCTTGGACTCCTAGAGCGAGAACCAGCCCCAGCAGCAGGGCAGAGCCCTGGCGAAACGCACGGTTCCACCAAGGAGTCACACTCCCGGTCACGGTCAATATGGCAGCCATGTGTTTTCTTCGTGGTCTTCAGGAAGATAAGCCCAGTATTGTATGCTTGTGAGCCTTTGCTATTTATTTGTACTCATAAGACTTGATTTACAGCAGGATTGAAAAGTTAAAGACTGCAGGTGACCCTGTTACGTAATATATACTAATTTCTCTTCCTCTTTTACTCTAAGGAACCAACTAACAGCCCCAAGTTTACCGACTTACTTTGAACTCTTACAGGTTGTAGAGACTTTCCAGATGTCAAAGGTGTATCATTGATGGGAGGTCCATCTGTATCTTGGAATTAAAAAGTAATGTCTTCTTCTGCCTTGAGGCTATTCCAAAAGATCCTTGCGGACAAATCCCAATAGAAGATATTTTGTGCCAAAAATCTTTATGAACCTCTGTTTTGGTGGGTAAGTAAGTATCTCTGGGCCTCCGCTAGACCGCTATGTGCTGAGCTTCACTCTAGAGTAGGACGCTCTTCTGCAGCCTGGCTCAGACCCAAGAACCTTCCGGTCCTTATTTTAGCTTACATCCCCTTCTTTCCAAAATGGTTTTTCTTCTTGGTTTTCTTGAAGGTTCTTCGTTGTTCCAACTGCGAGAGCGGCGGCAGAGGCAGACGGACGGATGAGACGCTAGTGACTTATCCGGACGAAGAGTGGGGTCTGATGGAAGGTAACAGGGGAAGATGAAGAGGAGAAGGAAGAGAGATGAGGTAATGTTTGGGAGGGTGGTGGGCCGAGGATGCCAGAAACAAGCGGAGAGCGAGAGGGAGGAGGAGGGGAACACCTCTGCTGAGAGGCCATCTGTCTTTCACACGCTCCCCCGTTCCTCACAGTCTTGGACATCCACCTTCTCTCTCTCCGTTACGCTACATTCCCATACAGCAACCTTCAGCTCTCCTGCACTCTCATTCTCAATCAACTGGTGGCAAGTCCTCAGTCAGCGACTGTCCCGGCATCTTCCCTTAACTTCCATCCTATGGAGCTTCACCACAGTGACTGCTACCATTCTCTCATCAGACCTTCAATACATTCTGGACATAAATTAAAATAACTGCGCTGGGGCACAGGAGACATTATTCTGGGTGTGATGCTACAGGCAGAATCATCGTCATCGCTGCATTAAGTCAAATGCAAAGACTTTAGAATCTGCATCTGAGCTCTACTTGTAATGCCTTTATGGTTTTCTGTCATGTGCATATTTGGGGTTTATAACCTTTAAGGAAAATATCCATCCATCCATCCATTTTCTATACCTACTTGTCCTAAGCAGGGTTGCGGGGGACCGGAGCCCATCCCAAAGGTAGGAACAACCCAGGATGGGGCACCAACCCATGAATGAAAATGTAATTATTTAAATTTGTATTACATGCATAAAATCTGAAAATTAACCAAACTCATTTGTTTATGCATTGGAATAATTTGGTCTAAAAATTGTACAGTTTTGCTTATTAATATTAAAGTAGATGCATCTTATTTTAAATGAGAGCCAAATCAAAATTCAAAGTTTTATTTTATTTTATTCTTCGTTAACATAGATCTAGCCAATAATATGGCTATGCTACACAAATATCAGTATCAGGTAGTCAAAAAAGTCAAAGGAAACTTACTTAAAAACTCACTTCTCAGATGAGGATACAGTGAGAACACAGCATGGTTTATGGAAATAAACCTAAAGACTTACCCTCAGCTTTGGCTAAATCCTGGGTAAAAACACAAGACATTTTGTCACGAGCGGTTTTCCTTGACGATTCAGGGTTAGAGTGATATGTGATTATTAAATCTGCTCGGCCCATATATGACGGTCAGGAAGCCTCACCTGCTTGAGTTTACAGGACGCCTCCCAGGTTTCTCCCACGAAGCCCTCCTGCACCTCCCATGAGAGCCGAGTCTCCTGATCTCCTGCTCCACTGGCTGACGGACGCCTTATGAAGATATCACCTCCTCCATTCATTGCACTCTCATTCTCTCAGTTTCTGCTCCGCCTCATCTCTCGATCCCTCCCCCCCCCTTCCTCATGCCCCCCCCCCTCCGCAGGTCTTACATACCGCCCCTCTTTTCCGTGTTCCTCCTGCGTGACCTTGCCCCCTGCTCCCTCTCTCTTCCCAGCCTCCGGACACGCCCCGAGTGCCCCATGGTCACCGCCACCACCCCTCATGTCAGCCAGTCTACCAGCCTCCTTCCAATCATACATTCCTCCTTCTCATCTTTATCCTCACCTTCTGTTTTTTTTTATCACCATACTGCAGTGCCTCTAAAGTCACATTTTAGCTCACTCACACTACAAGCATTGATCTCGCCGCATGGACAACTTTTCTTCCTCTTCCGTCTTCCTCCCCTATTCATCGCCAAAAGATTTCTCGTTGTATCATGCTCAAATTCACGCTCATACTCACGCTCAAATTCACGCTCATACTCACGCTCAAATTCACGCTCATACTCACGCTCAAACTCACGCTCATACTCACGCTCATACTCACGCTCCATTCCATCCTCTTCCTTCTGCTCACCAGTCCAGTTGACCTGCCCCAGAAGCTTTGCTCCTGCTTTCCATACTTTGCTGGCACACGACACAGAGATCATCTCCTCCATCCTCCTCATATGCGTCCTTATCTTTAAATATGTACACACTTCCGCCTCGAAAATCAATGTATCTAATAAATATGATGCAAAACAGCATGCAAAAAATCACTCAAAAAACACATCAATTGTGAAAACAAGTGCCTCTGTTTTCCTCATCCATCCCTCCCTGCCTCTAATCACAATCTGACATTACAAAGCATTCTACACAAAGCTGCATATAACAATCATTAACTTTATGTCTGAAAATAAGATGAAAAATGATAACAGCCCACTTCAGAGTAAGCTGATGGAACAGAATCAAAATCCATCAGTGTTTTAAATTTAATCACGAATGGAAAAAAAAAAACTGTTAGGGCTGTAAAAATAGAACATTGTCACCTTTGCTATTTCTGAGCTGAGTTCTCACTGTATAGCTGGAACAGTTTCCAGCCAGCTTTAAACCACACATGTATGACATACACATTAAGATGATTCAGTTGTACTGTAACTCGTTTGTCACTGAACAATTGTAATGTTCTGGGTATACTTCTGAAGCAGTAGTGCCACATTTGTTTAAAAATTCCAGGTGTATTTTTTTCATTAAAAGCCCTTTTTATATTGTAATAGTACAGGATTAAGAAGGCACAAATACACATTACTGGCATCTAGAGAATCCGTATACCAGGGGAGACCAATCATCTGAAGTCACATATTTAATGATAAAAGCTTACATTCAATTCCAATGGAAGCCAAGGTCCAGACAGGAACTCCGTGTGCAAATTTTAAACGATCTAATTTCACCTTTTGTCTTAAGTGCCTGTGAGTGATGTCATCTCCACAGTGGTACTGTTTTGGAGACTGGCTTTGTGCAGACCACAGCCCAGCTAGACTGGCTTTGTACAGACCACAGCCCAGCTAGACTGGCTGGGTGATTGTGCTGTCAGAGATGTTCAAGGCTCCACAACCTAGTAACTCAGCCACGCCTAAAAACACAGGCAGAACTCGATTGCACATGTAAGTGGAGGAGAAGTACGTATTATAGGCACAAATAAAGAAAGGGTATATGTCATTTAGTGTGCCTATAGTACGTGGTGTTTCAGTTTATGTGTCATTTCTGGAGGCAAGACAGTGAGGAATGTGTTTGTTCAGGTTGGGTGAGAACTTGCGTTTGAGGCCAGTAGCGGAGGATGTGTGGTTGTAGGGTGTGTGTGGGTGTGTGTGCGTGTGTGTGTGCATTCGAGGTATCCGAGCGACGGTTCTAACACACCTAGGATGTCTGGGTCTGTGCACCTTTGAGGTAACAATAGGACAGTGTTAAATGACATGCTGTGTGCATTTCATAATTAATTCTAGACCATTGCGCGCGTGTGTGTGTGTGTGTGTGTGTGTGTATGGATTAGGTTTATATTACATTGTGGGGGACCAAATGTCTCCCACAATGTGGTAAAACCAATCATTTTTAACGTTGTGGGGAGCATTTTTCCGGTCCCCACAAAGATCTGTGAATGCAATCAAAACCAAACATTTCAAAAGTCTCATATTTTGTTTGGTTACTAACTGTATGGTTAAGGTTTGGTAGGGTTTAAGGCCTCCATGTTGGGATTAGAGTTTTTCCCATGGAAATGAATGGAGAGTCTCCTCAAAGATATAATTACAAACCTGTGTGTGTGTGTGTGTGTGTGTGTGTGTGTGTGTGTTGTTAATAAGCTCACATCCATGCACACTGGGTGGGTCCCCTGATTTGGGTCAGCTTCCCCTCTCCCAAAACTGCAGGGAGGCCGGCTGCCCCCCCTCCCCCCCGTGGGATGCTCCCCCTCACGGCCTCCACAAACCGCACCACCTGGGCCCGCAGGCTCGGCCCCGGCCCCCGCACCCACCGAGGCGTCCATCTGCATGGCGCCCTGCAGCGGCAATGCGCCGCAAATGAGCAATGCCACAATGCAACTGCTGCAGGTTAAACGGCTGCAGCAAAGAGACAGAAACAGATCATACTCTTCTCTGAATTCATCTCCATCCTAGTCAGGAGCATTTTCCCTTGTTTGTGGCTGCCTGGTAGCCTAAAGGAGAAATGCATTATTTGGTTATAAAGATATAATTCCTGTCGTACCCATAATGAACTTCCTGCATTTCGGTTTTGCATAGATCCACCACAGGAATCCCGAGAGGTTTAGTTACGATGCAGAAGACATCTCTGTCTGCCTGGCTATTTACGCTCAGCTCACTGTGAGCCTGCAGACTGCAGTCTTCTGCTCCATCACTGCAGACTTCTGCTCCATCAGTTGTCGCCTGATCATCTCCAGTTTTGTGCTGAAGTCCTCAGAGGGATCGTCCAGGCCAATGTGTCCCAACCCGGTTCTCGGGGACCCGACAGTCCACGTCTTTGATAAAATATGGACTGTCTGTGTGGGAGCTGGGAGGGAGCAAAAACGTGGAGAGTCTGGAGGTACCTGAGGACCAGGTTGGGAAACACTGACTTAGACACTTGTAACACTCAAAACTAAGTTACGCACTCACCATATATGCAGACCCAGAGAAATGACACAGAATTATAGCAGAACAAGCTTAAATGATACAAAGACATAAGCACACCAAAGCACATAAACTAACCTATAGCTCAAGTCCCACAGCTTCCTGATCCACACCTTGTTGTGAGTTTTAGCTTTTTTTTTTTTAATGTGTGAGACATCAGTTATGTATCAATATTAATTTATACTTAATTTTCCTTTAGAAACTTTTCTATTGTGGAGAAGTATTTAATAAAAACTGGCTTGGCGGCTACTGAAAATAACTGCATCCATGCTCTGTAATTATGCATCATGCTGTTTGCTATTGAGTAGGTGCCAGTGTTGGAAACATCTCATTCACCCTGCCAAGCTAGTGTTGAACACACAGTCATCGCTTATTACTCTGCACTGATAATAGCAAAATAGTATTGGACACCCTGATTGTGGACACTGGAGATTAACTTGAGCTCAGTGCACCCTACACAATATATCTGCTATTCTCTACCTATCTGTTGATACTGAACTAATAATCATCTTGCTGTCCTTTCATTTATACACTGAACAGGTACTTTTATTAGGAGAAGCTTAAGGGTTAAGCACATGCACTCACCGTCACAGAGTAAATGCACTTAACGGCACTGCAGTCATGTGACCGTTCATCGAGGGTACCACACTGCACAGCTGTTTAGCAGATGAGAACTGTGGCAGCTTTTTGTCACTGTATGCTTCCAGTGTGGCATTAAGGGGGTGGTGTCATTCTACTCAAAACTGCTGTTTACCCGCGCATTCACAGATCACATTAACAAAGGCTTTCAACAAATAATGACAGAAGAGACACCAGCAGATTTCCCGGCCAGTGTGTCAAACTTGTTTGGACGACAGCGTTTATCCTGCAGTGGGCTTTGAACGAGCAACCAAAAAGGCGATGAAAATGGGTCTCTGACACCACCTATTTTATAATGTTGCCCGAAATAATCCAATAGACAAGAACTTCCCCCTTCAGGTTCAGGAAGCACCTGTCCAATTGTCCTGCGTTTCAGATTTAATATTTATTAAAGCACAGCATGGAACACTAGAATAGAATTCGACTGAGCAGACTGTTTTTAACATCTATCCGTCCAGGACAGGATTGTCATGAGCTTGTAGGCGACCCCAGGAAACATAGGCCACGAGGCAGGGGACGCTCTGGGCAGAGCCAACCTTCAACATATGGACGAATAAGTGACAGTTTCTGCTGTAGTATCTTATTTTGCTATCTAAAGGCGGAAGCTTGGCCTGCTTTTCCGCCTGAATGAGTCTGTAAGACTTGGGCAGAGGCAGAGCACAGAAACCTTAGGAGACATCGGCTTGCGCTTCCTTTGCATAAATCCCAGTCTGTCACAGTAGAGATCAGGGCCAGCCACCTGCTGTCCCCACTACTCCGCCCACCCCGGTTGCTGGTTCCCGTAAAGGGCCTCAACTTTCACCCCTAACCCCAGAAACTGTGCAACGCTCACCTGTACTTTCAGGCTCCTGCTGGCAGCTGTCACCTGTCCGCATGCCAGACGCTCAGCTCTGCCCTACCACTAGGGGGTGCTAATCCCATGTGCCCGGCTGCTTAAACAGCCGACGGACCTTTGAGGGTTGCTTACGCCGTGGCCAACATATGACCTGCGCCGCTGCTGGTGCTGATGAGAGATTGATGGGCGCTAGAAAATGGGTGGGGGGGGGGAGAGAGAGATGAAACATTGCTATTTTGTGGTTCATGTGTTTGATTGTGCTCCTTTTACACGTATGCTACTGTTTCGAGTTTTTCTTTCAGTTTATTACTATTTTTGTAACATACACCGATCCATTTCCCACATTCCTTATCCAATATAGTAATGATTACTTTTCTGGGTACAAGATTTCTGTACATCACACATTATGTAAGAAGGCCTACAACATGCTCTAGTTTGTTGTCACTAATTTTCTCCCAGAGTGACTGTTACTGAAAGGTCTCATTCTACTGAAAAGCTCTGTTGTTGCATGTCAAGGCCTATCCATTCACCCATTCATTCATACTTTCGCTAATTAGCCTTGGAGTAGAGCCAGGCTAAACAGAAGCTATTATAGCTGTTGGCCTGACTGGAAAAGGGTAATAAAGAAATTTACATCGAATAAATTAAAAAGCCCTTGCGTAGCCTTTAAACACATCCACTGGCATTAAAAAAAATACATATTACAAACATTCCCACAGTGACTCTTATAATAAATGCAGCCATTCTTAAGTCACACGATATATGCCTACACCTGCATTATTGTCGCAAGTGCATGTATTTTTAATCACGGAAATTACCTAAAATGAAACCGGGAGGTTAACGGTAAGAATAAATGCACGTAAAACGTCGCACACGAAAATCATATTTCGTGGTTTAAAAAGTTTGGAAAATTAAAACAAAATATCAACATTTGACTTAAAAGAGTGAGAAAATAGGAACATTATTGGCTTTGTAAGATTGTCCTATAGAGGAGGTTCGTTAATCTAATACCTTAAGCCTTAAGAAGTCTAAATAAAACCTTTTGAGTATCTAAACGTCTCGTGGGTCTCGACTATCTTGCCAAAAGGTCAATCAACTATTGCACCCTGGTAAAGAAAAATTATTTGACGATACTGATTAAAATTTTGCTTGTATTATAAAGATTTCATTACAAGAAAATGTTTCGTACCGCCCCGTAGTGGCCATGTCGTGGGCCTAATTATAGTGAAATTGCGCCCCCTAAAGGACGGAAGTGGAAAGCGTCTTATAGACTAAACGTTAAAGCGCCACCTAGCTGTTATTACAGCGTGATGGTTGTATTGTCTCAACAACCGTTAAACAGTCCTCCGTCCCATTATTCTAGAAGTCCATTCATTAGCCATTTACATCAATTCACCGATAACCAAAGACATATAATGTGACTAACGTTCATCCTCACCCTAAAAATAACCTTCCTCGGCGTTCTGTATTTAGTTTGGTTCGCAGAAACTAAAACGTAAGCTAACTAAATTCTCACAACTGGACAAGAAACTAAAAGCCGAACAGTATAACCATGCTTCAAATTTAGGACGTCAAAAATGACTGTGTTTCATAAACAAATGGCCTGCGGTACAAATAACTGCTCGCCTGTGTCTATATCTTGTAACCTGAAGTAACTCGTTATTTTATGTGTAGAATTTGTCTTTATATCACATATATCGACTCATAAAAATGACATTTAGAATAGTATATCTTTAAGAAGATATAATAATGTCTTTAGAAAAAAAAGGTACATCTCTCCCTGGTGGTCTAGTGGTTAGGATTCGGCGCTCTCACCGCCGCGGCCCGGGTTCGATTCCCGGTCAGGGAATGAGTCTTTTGATACATGAAATCACCAACTCGCTACAAATGTACCTTTTCACTGACACATTTCCCCAGTTAGTGGTTTCATTAAATTACACACTCGTCTGTTTTAACTGACGTCCTGCATGTGAATGTACTACAGTAATACTATCAACACCAGTCCTGGATTTACTGCTGAACAAACTGAGTCAAACTGATTATATTTTGGCTATTGTCTGAAGTCCACAATCACAGAAAATCCATATTGAGAACATGGCTCAGCATGTCCAACAGGCAGACTTTGTAGGGTATGACAATCCTGTACTGGAGTTTGCAGTTAGGGACTCACTGTAGATGTCTTCACGGACCAATCAGGTCAGCTCCACATTTGAGAGCAGCTGCAACTGCATTCCGGGCAGTGATGCTGCCAGTGGTGCATAATTTCAGCCTGTTTTGAGTGGCAGCTTAGGATGTGAGTAAAGTTACTGGGAAACCAGGAGCCAATGGTAGGATGCATAGGGCACATTGCTGGGGACACTTTGGATGCCAGGAAATTACAATATATTCAAAAATTATAGTGTCTTGCGAAAGTATTCATCCCCCTTGGCGTTTGTCCTGTTTTGTTGCTTTACAACCCAGAATTAAAATCAATTTAAATGGGTTTGCACTGGTGTACAGCAATCTTCAAGTCATGCCACAGATTCTCAATTGCAGGACATTTAAATGTTTCCCTTTAAGCCAGTCCAGTGTAGCTTTGGCAGTTTGTTTAGGGGTCACCGTGCAGCTGGAAGGTGAACCTTCCTTCCAGTCTCCAATCTCTGGCCGACAGAAACAGCTTTTCTTCAAGAGTTGCCCTGTATTTAGCGCCATCCATCTTTTCCCTCAGCCCTGCCCGGTTTTCCTGTCCCTTGCCAATGACGAGCACCCACCGCATGACGCTGCCGCCGCCACGCTTCACTGGAGGACTGGCGTTCCCGCGGCGACGGGAAGGGCTGGGTTTGCGCCACGCAGAGCTTCCCATGATGACCGAAATGTTAGATTTTAGTTGAATCTGACCAGAGAACCATCTCCCATGGGTTAGGTGAGATGTTGTCTTGTTTTTTTTCCTCGCAGCAATGTCTTTTTCTGGCCACCCTGCCATAAAGTCCCGCTCTGCGGAGTGTGCCGTTTGAACGGTCCTCCCATCACTGCAGTGGACCATTGCAGCTCCTTCAGGGTCATCTTTGGTGTCTTTCTCGCATCTCTGTCTATAAGTCTATAAGTTTGGGTGGGTGGGCTTCTCTCGTCAGGTTTGCAGCAGTACCATATTGTTCCCATTTTGTTATAATGGACTTAATGATGCTCCGTGGGATATTCAAAGTTTGGGATTATTTTTTTTTTTAATAATTCGATCCTGATCTATCCACCCCGTATGGACCCCCCCTGGTCTTCATGGTCGCTGCTTGGCAATGATGCAGTCGGGGGCCTTTCAGAGCAGGTCTGTTTATACAGGCATCATGTTTCAGATCATGTGACACTTTGATTACACACAAGTGGACCTTAATCAACTAATTATGTCACTTCTGAAGGTAATTGGTTTGACCAGATGGAATCTAAGGGCGATGAATACATATGCGCTCGCAACTTTTCAATTTGTACTTTTTTTTACCACACACACACATATATATACATATACACATACATACATACATACATATTCACAGAGTATTTCATTTATTAATTTCACTTCAACAACTTGCACTATATTGTTAAGTACATTACACAGAATCCAAATAGAAATCCGTTTTAATTCCAACATGTCATGCGTAAAAACTGGAAAAACACACAAGGTACAGCTCCTACATGTTTGACTCCTAACTTTGACAACCTCTCCCAGCATCTGCGCAGTTCCAAGACACGTATGTAAGGCATGTTTATGCAGCTAAGGCAGCTTAAAATATCGTTTTCCTCAGAAGATGCTCTCCGTGACTATAGGTTTAACGCTAATGACAGACATCAGGAGGCAGCTGGCATTCAGAAGGACTGCAATCGAGAGAAACGCGGCACCATCATCCGCTGGCTCACTTTACCAGCACCCGAAGGAAACATCGAAAAGCGGTTCAAGCAAGTGGAAAATAAAAGCCAAACGGGTCTTACTGATCTCTCCTTTATCTCATAACACTCTCAGAAAGCGGTGGTGAGCTGTCCATACGAAACCTCAGAATGCGGAGACCCGGTCAGCTCGAAGTCAAGAGAGAAGGGTTTAAATAAACTTAAACAGAGCTTAAACAAACTAGGTATCTGCAGGTTTCTTTTTTATGATAGCATTTTAGTAATAAGTTCATTATAACAAAATCAATGTATACTCGCACCCTATTTGAATGTAGAAACTGATTAAAAATAGATTGTTGACATTTATAATAATTGATTAAAATAATTAAGGAACACGCCATTATACCAATGTTATTAATTTATCAGCGATTCAGCTAGGCCTATTTCTGGTGAGCTCGCAGCTTTTCAACCAAATAACGTAATAAATTGAGAGCAAAACGTACCACACGTCTGATTACACTTCGAATAATATTTACATTGAATATTTAAGTGCATCGATTTTGGTAAATTGATTCATATTTGTGAAAATCCAAAATGAACTTTGGGTACCTGTAACTGAGCCGCGTTGCTTTTGGCTTTCATAAAAGGCTTAGAAACTACATGATCCCCGTGTCCCCATCGGAGCCCACTGATCCAGACACGTCTAGCTAAGTTAAGGCTGAATTTGTGTCGGAAGACAATCTTCAGACTGTAAAAAACATGGCACACTTCGGACACGGTAAGATGTATATGGATTGTGAGTAAATGCTTGGTTATTATGGGAAGAGAGCGCGCTGCGGGAGACAGAACAGCATACGGTCGGACATTGTACTACAGAGGAAGTGACATAAACAACAAACGGGACATCCCGGTGTAGTAACTAATACCAGACACAGGGTCATACTTGCATAGCTAATAAAATGCATTCCCTCTACAGAAACTTTTTTTTTTTTTTTACATTACCGAACAATATGGATCGGGCGGCTGGTGATGTTATGTGACAGTTCTCATGCACAACATTACGCGCGCTGTGTGATCAGCCGTGGAGATGGAGGCGCGGACAGACGGTCAGACGGACAGACATCACTGCCGCATAGAAGGGAGCCCGACACACAGGCCGCTTTCTCTAAATACAAAGAGAAACGGGGGTGGGAGGGGTTGGAGGGAGGATGACAGGAAGACGGGAATCCAATTCTCTCTTTCGATACCGCATAGACCTCTCAACCCTCCCCGCCTCTTCTGGGTTTCCGACAAACAACAATACCCTAATGTAGTTACGAGGGAAAAAATATATATTAAATAGTCCCATTTACGACGACGCTACAAATAATATACCTTAACAGCGTCCCGAGCGGACTGTCTCAGCAAGGCGACTGCGCACCTTAGTAACTAGACGCCGGGAAATGGCATTGTTGATATCCCGGCTGAATACTAGCTAATATTTTATCGTCTTTAAACAATTTCCAAAGAGCAGCGATTTTGGGTGAGTAATTTACGTTATCCCATTTGACTTTGTCGTGGCCGATCAATAATAGCAAAGAAACTTACGATATATTACGGTCATAAAAATTTATTAATCATAACTTCATATTATCATAGAGGGGAGCGGGATGCAACAGGTAGCGTGTACAGTAGAGGAGCGGTCTAAGTTATTGAGCGGAGTTCGCCGACCCTTTTGTGAAATTATGCGTGGTATTTTACCTCCGATAACAACGCTAGTTTTATTTTGACATACAGGCTGACTTGATGTATTTCATTTGTGTTTATTTTAATAAATTGTCATTTGTTTAAAAAAAAAAAATCGGAGTTACTACGAACAAGCGATGCCTATCTATAAGAAATTTAGCGTATATCGATGATTATGATAAATAACTGCGATGGCAGTGAAGGAATTTTAAATACATTCAGATGGGAAACTTCCAAAAAAAGAAAATTGCCCTTATGCATATCTGTCAACGTTCAGCTTAAACTACCCTCAGTACGACAGTTGTTATATTCATCCATAAATGTGTTACTCCATAAAGTATCAAAGGAACAGTCAGTAGGCTATGCAGCCAAATATGTGATTTTTGCTTTTACTGAACGATTCATTGTAATATGCATTAAAAATTTCTGCTCTTTGTAATGAACTGGATATAAATATTTCCATATAGGGTAGGTAAGAAAAAGCAATTGTGTACAAATTTTGGTCTGCTAAAATCCTCATAAAGAAAAAGAACGATCACTTTGGTCATTAACATAACCATCCATTACTTTAATGGCGTCAGCGAACAATGAACTAGTGGTAGAATTATCTAACCTACCTGCTTCTGTTATGGACTGCGGTGTCACGAACCACAGTAATTTACATTTGCTCAACGAACGCTCAATTGGAATGTCATTTTGTTACCTTTGTGCTCATTAAATATTCCTTTTCTGCTTTAAATTCCCTACCAAAGTTAATAGTATTTTACCATTTGAATCATCTGATCACCCATTTCTGTTAAACAAAAAATTGACCCCAAACACACAAGCAATCTAAGCACCTAAAGGTAAATAAAATAAAAAGCAGGAGATAAATGAGAGTTGAAACCAGGAACAGAGATTCAAAGTTGCATTACTACAACAGCGTGAGGAGGGTGTCGGACATGGTTTGCGGCCCAAAGAGGGCAGGTCCACATTTCCGGATCGCCCTGCTGTGGTAGCCCAGGGCAACTGATCTCAATCACTTTATTGCACGGCCGTATTATGTGCTTGCTGTGTAAATACATCCTGCGCCGTTTCACCACGTCTTGGGACACGAACTGTCCAAGTTTCTCCCAGTTTCCTCAGATACTGCTAGGCAAGTAGAAAATATCAAAGCCACGATTACTATTTCATAAAAAATAACCTTCACAATCAAAGCAACTAAAAAAATCAAGCCATATATCATTCAGGTGTTTTATTTCTTCATTTATTTTATTTTATTTTTCATGAGACAGTCCAATGCAAAACCAAAAACAGATGGATGGATGGATGATCAGTTTTGGCTGGAAGAAGGGTAATATCAAGAACTACTGACTCTTCAGCAATAATCAATTACATTTTAAATGATATATTATTGACGGTTATTGTTATCTAAATTATCCATTTTCTTTTTTTTTGTATTTTGAAGTGTTCAGAGGCGTTTAAACCGTTTAAGAGTAAATAATATGAGTAAAAGAATGACCAAGACTCAACTAAAAGCTTGTTATATTTATGAATAATTTTAACTAGTAAGACATTGGATAAAATATTGTTGGTGTTGAATTCTTTTTTTCCAGCCTTTCAGTGTCCCTCGTGTTATTGCAATGTTGAAACACCTCACCGCAAACGGCGCCATTAGGGGACCCTGTCCTGCCCCGTTTTTATGTATGCCGGTGAACATATCTGTTGTAGAGATTGGTCCATTTCGTGTAAATGACCCAGATTAATTAATTAATTAATTAATTAATTAGCAAGTTTGCTTTTAGGTAAGTGCAGCCGTTAAAATGGTCGCAATAACGACTTTAAATTTCAGCTTGCAACTATCCGCTCCCTCTTGCGGTAGTAAGTGGAACATACTGTAGTGTTCCGGTCTTACTCGTGAAGTTATACACTAACCCCATTTTTGAAAGACATCGGGTGTATTTATTATTATTTTCTCTCGTATCATGACACATAGCAGTGTTTAATAATATATTTCAGTTGAAATACGTGCATTTTTAATATTAAACAAACACTAGTAAGTCCACACATTCGGTATTAATAATAGTTTATATTTATATATAATTTTCTATAAATTCTCCCGTACTACTTTGCTAGAGGTTTGTGGGTCGTTGTGCCCTCCGGTGTAAGGGTGCATAAACTACGACTTAAAAAGTACAGACTTCTTTGCCCCTCTGTATGTCTCTTATTCCACTTCCACGTGGTATGGCAGTAGGTCCTGGGATTGAAAAGGGGCCATTGTACAGCATGTCAGTAGCACAGTGTATCCCTTGAGGCTCCGAGAGATATGCTCACCCGAGTGTGTCCTGACCGCCATTGTTACGAATTCTTATCCATTCACTAGCTTTTAAATAGAGCTCGGGCAAAAGTACGCAAGTGAAGAGAGGAGGGACCACGAACAGGCGCGCTCTCACATTGCCTGGTCTACATAGATCGCTGCCCATATTCACAGACAGATTGGAAACGCCTTCTTTCTGTGACATAGCCCCTTCATCTTCCTGAAGTTCTGAACCCAAGATCACTGGCCAGATTGTTTTTACCCATTATACAATATATTACATAGTAAAAAAAAAATGCCCTTATAATAATCCGCAATAGATATATATAGCACATATCATAATCATTTAATTGTTGCCAATATCAAAATGATACATGCCGTTCATGCGGAAACCATTAAAAGATTATTTGTTAACAGCATACATGAGTAGGGAACAAAGGCTGCAAAGACAGCTAAGGAGAAATTCTGAAGATTTTTTTTAAGTATAATAAAATGTCTAGACTTTATATTGCTTTATTAAATTATAAGATCAATCAAACTATCAGCGCATTTGTTTTGCAGGCTATTTTATATGATCATTGACTTTTGATGTTTGGGTTTAGCTACAGGTAGCCGGTTCAAGCGCTTAGTCATAAAATATATCGTATAAAGCACTATGCTAGTGGATAACCTTAAGAACCTACACACAGACAATACGAAAGGCAATTGGCCGTGCTGGTCTCTGTAGTATAACTCGTTAAATATTGGTTTATAAGTGGCGTGGCATCTCATAAAAGCGCTAGGTGGCGTGAGAGTGTGGGGGAGGGGAATTAATTATCCAAAAAGTGAGAGAGATGTTGTTCCTCGCTATTTAAATGCAAATGTTAAGAGAGGACAAGAAGACTGTGTGTATGTGTGTGTATGTGTGTGTGTTGGGGGGTGGGGGGGGCATGGTGGGTAAGTTGGGAGAAAGAGAGGACTTGTTGAGAAAAACAGCCACACATACATACACACGCGCACTCGCAAATTCGCACGGCAGCAATAGATGTCGATGGCAAAGCTGCTCTATTACTCCTGAGCTTCATCACAATGGACATGGTGCTGATCCATTACTGTAACTTCGCTTTAAAAGTCGAAAAAAACTTTTTGGCGATATAGGGGGTTCATAGTGTGATAGGAAAGAAACTTTTTGGGGACGCTATTTGGAGTTGGTGCAGCGTGTGAAGTATTGTGCTGGCTGATGCCCCCTCTGCCTCGTGAATCATGTCTCGCCGGAAACAGAAACGGCCCCAGCAGCTCGTGAACTCGGTTCTCGGGAGCACGCGGATACTGACGCAAGGTGAGAAAAATCCCCTTTATCGGCTCGCGTATTCCCATATTCTGATGTTCATATTACTGCAATAATAACAATAGGCTAAAAATTGATATTTCAATATGATATTGTGCAAAAATTTGTTAAACGCATTGCAAGCAAAGTTCAGTTCATTAATTACGATTATATGCAGATGTTTATGTAATGTTTAATGCTGAGAAAATAATTTTTGCTGATTATACATATATTTGTAGTTCGTGATATGATTATCCGTAGGTTTATTAAGTATAAAACACTAAATTTAAACAGGTTTTTTTTGTTCATTTGCTTTATTTGCAATATAATTTGTTTAATCGTCAAACTTTAGAAAATACGTATGAAGTAGTTGTCATAGTCACGATATAATACGTGTGGGAATTAACAGCTATAGCAACTTTTATTAACGATTGTTAGGGGCGACCCGGTATATCCATGCATAAATATATCAGTTTATGCAAAACAGACGACTATAAGAATGATAGGTTTTCGGACGTCACGTGTAATAAATCTTAGGGAAACAGGTATTTTTTTTGGGGGGGGGGGAGGTGAACATGTCATTAATAGTCGATGGGTGTTCGGGATCACGAGGTTATAATCCGCGCTGTACGGATATTTATTTTGAATCTGGTCTTGTACTCGTGCTATAGGCAGGTAACGACCCGAAGACGTGGAGCCCGAAATATAATGATTGCGGCTGCAGTCGCGTTCATTGCTTGACTTAGAAACGCTCCGTTATTGCCTGGAATACGCGAAAGGTAGTAGTAAAGACGCGAATCCATTTAAAGCTGCATTCCACGTTTTATAATGTGTGCTGGTGGGTAGGTGAGTGTCAGTTTAATAGGAGTTTTACGGCTTTCCCTGACTTCTGATCTTTTTCATTAGTTTTTTTTTTTGGGGGGGGGGCGGTAAAGGGGGATTAATCTCTCTTTTCTCCTTTTCTTTCTGCCTTCAACTTTTTACTTTTCTCCATGTTACCCCTGCTTTCCTCTCTATCACTTGCTTTTTCTCCTACATTCTGATATCCATTCAGTGAGTGTGCTCATATTGCCAGACCAGGAGAGAACAGACCACCCAGTTAGGAGGGAGAGAGAGAGACAGAGAGAGAGAGAGAGAGAGAGAGAGACTGCTGAAGATTCAGTAAACGTGTATGGGTATCAGGGACAAAAAAAAAATGCTGGGTTGTTGAGAGCGAAGAGTGACATGGAGTGAGTAGAGAGAGAGAGAGAGACAGGAAGGTAGTGTGACAAAGAGATGGAGGAATGTTAAGGAGCAGAGAGGTGTACTGGGAAATTGCCGAAACTGCAGCAGCATGAGGTTCTATTGTCCTTCCGGGCCTTTGTGGTTAAGCAGTGAGCCGTGAACAAGCGCCAGGACCATGAACACTGTGTGTGCGTGAGTGTGTGTGTGTGTGTGTGTGCGTGTGGGGGTGTGGGGGGGTCCCCATCACTGTGAGCAGGTGTAGAGCTGCACGGTCGCCGCTCACAGAGACGCTCGTGCATGGCCTTTACACCATTTCCTGAGCTGGGGCGTGCGGGTGTGCGTTTGCCCGTGCGTGGCGTGCAATTCGCCGCGCGTGCGGGTGTGGACTGGTTAGCACAGGTGTCCCGCGTGCTTTCGGTGAGCCGTTGACTACAGTTCTCAGCTTCTCGGGGCCGCGCTTCTCCTTCCCGCGCCTTGTCTGTCATCCGCTTGCCGTGTTTTCTTTTGCTCGCCGCTCCCTCTCTCTGCGGAGGACTCTGAAAGAATGTGACCCCCGGCACTCCACGGGTCAAGTCTGTTAGCCAATCACAGCGACTGGACAGCGGCCAAGACCCCTAAATGAGAAGTGACCTCTGACCCTGTGGGGTCAGGGGGGAAGGGTGGATAGAGAGATGAAAGACTCAACCAATGGAATAGGGGGTGGGTTAAGAGGGGTTAGAGGTTGCCGTGGTGATGTCCATTGTCCTTTGCAATGTGTTGCCGTGGCAGCAAGGTTGGCTGTTAGCGTTGGTGGAAAGAGAGATGGTGTGTGTGTGTGTTGGGGGGGGTGGCTGTTTTGGGTTGGATGGATGATGAGATAGAGAGGGATAAAGAGATAAAGACTGTGGAGATGAAGAGCCAGCTAAGAATATAAAAAAGCAAAGCATATTGGAGGTGGAGTATACCATTATATACCATTATATACCATTATATACCATGCTATAACAACAGCTGGATCAGGGATCTGGGCAGGTGAGTGCAGGTTTTAATAGAATAAATAATGGACTTCTTTACCTGGTCACAGATTAACTTGAAGATGCATACAGAGATAATACAGTACCCATATACTGATGTCTATACTTAAATTTATTAATTCATTTAAGTTCATGAAATGCAGTTTTGTTATTGGACATTGTTCTGGATCTCCGTGAAAAATCTGATGTGGCCCCTTGATCCAAACGCCGAGACCCCCTGCTATGGAGTGTATGGAAAGGGGAGCAGAAACATTTCGGCTTCTTGAGTAGAAGGCGCACAACATATTTCACAGTCCCTGCAGTACTCAGCATTTCAAGACAAGTCCAACAATTTGTGTGATGTGTGCCAGACATCTTCAGAGAAGGCAGCTTGACTGGGAGAATCTTTTCAGTCTTTTGTTATGGATAGAATCAATGTAGAAGTGCTTTCATTAGTCGATAAGCCATTTTTGAAATGCATGAAGCCTACGATTCTTGGAAACAAGCTTGACGTAACCAAGGTATCTGTTCTGTCTCTCGTTCCTGTTTCCTCAGATGAGCAGGTGGCCGTCAAGTCTCTGTCTGCCTTTCTAACGGCAGACTCTGCCTCCTCTCCACTGCTCGACAGCCAGCCTCCCCTAGCGCCCTGCCCCTCCCCTGGGGGCCTCCACAATCCTTCCCTCCCCACTGAGAGCTTCCCTGCCTCCCGCTCTCCCAACCAGCCGGCCCCACACCCCGCCTCCCTGTCAGACGGTCCCTCCTCCCACTCCCCGGACATCCCCTATCCCTCACTGTCCTCGCAGGCCCGCTCCCCGACCCAGCACTCCTCCAGCCCGGCCTCCTCTTCCCAAAGCCAGGCCCGTTCCCTCATGGCCTCCCCGAAGATGGGGGTTTCTGCAACCACCACCACCTCCTCCTCGTCCTCCTCCTCCTCCTGTGTCCCCCCTCATCCAGGCAGCCCCAGCCCGGTGCCCGAGGGCCCCCCCAGTCCGGTGACGCCCGCCCCCAGCCCAGGCGAGCCACCTCGTCCCCACCTGAGCATCGCTGTTATCCTGGAGGAGCTGCGGGTGCTGCAGCAGAGGCAGATCTACCAGATGCAGATGACCGAGGAGATCTGCAAGCAGGTGCTGCAGCTGGGCGGCGTGGCGTGTGGCCTGGACTCACCGCCGCTGCCCCAGCTCTGTTTGGAAGCTAGCGATGGCGCTTCCGGGCCTCCCCTGCCCTTACCCACACAGCCCTCTGCGCCTCCCCTCCTAGCCTGCTTTCCCTCCCTTTTGCCCCAATCTGTGTCCAAGGCCAAGGCCCCCCACCCTATGTCACATGTCCTGCGCCCGCTGAAGCCACAGTACGAAGCGGTGGGTGGCGCCGCTGTCCGCGCTTATCCTGGAAACATCACCCGGGCATCCTCTTCATCATCCTCCGCCTTGTCCTCGTCGATCTCCTCCTCCTCCTCGAGCTCCACGGCCACCACGTCAGCCTCCCACTACCCCCTCTCACTGGCCCTGGGGATGCCCCCGCGGTACCTGCATGAGAAGTCGCCCAACACCACCTCCGCCAGTGCAAGCGGCCTGCCCTTCTTTACCCCACCCCTGCCGGCCTCCACCTCGCTGCCAGGCCCCTCCCAAGAGCCCCAGCAGTCAGGGTCCGGGGGCCCTGCGGGCTCCTCGCTCGGGCGCCTGTCCCACGCCTGCCGATTCTGCGGCAAGCTCTTCAGTAGTGACTCGTCCCTGCAGATCCACCTGCGCTCGCACACTGGCGAGCGGCCCTACCAGTGCCCCGTGTGCCTCAGTCGCTTCACCACACGCGGCAACCTCAAGGTCCACTTCCTGCGGCACCGCGAGCAGAATCCCGAGCTCTCCCTCTCCCTGCTGCCGCCCTCTCTGTTCGGGGCGGGTTCTGACCAGACCCAGACAGCCCCCAGCATCCTGCCTGCTGTTCCCAGCGTGGCACAGAAGCGCAGGAAGCGCCGCAGTGAGGACGACGTGTTCGGGGAGGGCTCCGAGGGTGGCACACCGGTTGCTGGCTTCTCACTAGGCTCCACCCCCGGGGCCCGCCCACCCCCAGCCACGCTCCCCCTGCCGCCCAGTGTGGACCTGGCTCTGCTCTCCACAGCTCACTCCCTGCTGCAGCTCAACCGTGCAGCAGCTGCAGCAGCGGCGGCCGCCGCTGTTTCCTCCGGTTCAGGCCCTCCTTCCTCCTCCGCCTCCTCCTCCTCCTCCTCAACCATATCTTCATCCTCCTCGAGTCCCCTGGCATCCATTGCCAGCTTGTACAAAGGAGCCAAGCGCTTCGATGAGAACACGCCCCCGCACCCCGCTATGCTGCCCCACTCCGCCTACTCCCAGCTGGCCCACCTCCCGAAGCTGCTCTTCCCCAGCGCCCCCTCCCAGCATCACCACCCTGGCTTGGCCCTGCTCCGCCCCACCGGCCCACCCCCACCCGGGTCCCACATCTCCGGGCCGCACCCCCAGCTCACTTTTCCCTTCTCCCCCTACCCCAAGGCCCAGACCTCCTCCTCCCCCTCTGCCTCTTCTTCCTCTGACACCTCCAAGCTGCAGAAGCTCGTGGAGAAGCTAGAAAAGGAGCCACAAAAGCTTCCGGAGGAATCCCAGGCCTCAGGCTCCAGTGAGGCTGTGCCGAATAGCACCACCACTGGCACTGGCTTCAGCAGTGGCCTCACCGTCACCACGGCATCCAGCTTCAGCAGGGAGATGATGGCAGCTCTGGGTGTAGGTGGCGGCACTGGGGTGGGTGGCCTGGGCGTGGTGGGTGCTGGCCCACCCAACCTGGCGCCTAATCAGTGCGGCACATGCCTACGGGTGCTGAGCTGCCCTCGGGCTCTCAGGCTGCATCAGGCCACCCACCTGGGTGAGCGCCCCTTCCCCTGCCGCCTCTGTGGCCGCTCCTTCTCCACCAAGGGCAACCTGCGTGCTCACCAGGCCACGCACCGGGCCCGCCCCCCAGCCCGCGCACACAACTCCTGCCCGCTCTGCCAGCGCAAGTTCACCAACGCCCTGGTGCTCCAGCACCACATCCGCATGCACCTGGGAGGCCAGCTACCACCAGGGGGAGTTGATCCACCACCTGAAGGTTCCCCCCAGGCCGAGTCCCGTTTTTTTAGCGTTGGTGCTGGTGAGCTACTTGGTTCAGGACCCATTGCCACCAGCAGTCAGTGTATTGGTTCGAACCCCTTCTTGGGGGGTGGTGTCACACCTTTGTCTGTCAACATCGCCCCGCTCTCTGCTGAGGGATCAAACCACAGCCCTTCTGGGTCCTCCAGCCCTGATCTAGTCCCCCCAGCCGACCTGAGTCCCGACCCCACCCTTAACCCATCCGCTGACCCTGTTCCACTGGGCAGCTCTGAACCCCCAGTGCTGTCTGCCAGTGTGCCTGTCTCCAGCTCCAGAGTGCCCTCTAGTGAGGACTCCCAGGCAGATCTAAAACCCAGCATTGCTCCCACCCCGACGGGTCGCTCCAGTCCTGCGCCCAGCTCTCCTGCTAAGACCGTCCTGCAGAAGCATAATGAAGGAAGCGAGGCCACGCCCCCCAGGGGCACCAAGTCTAAACAGGAGGATCCCCTTGACACCCCAGGCCCCATTGTCACTCTGCCAATCCTTCCCAGCAGCCGCAGCCCTCCTCCCGGCCCATCACCAGACGCCATGGACACTACCGGCAGTGAGCCCAAATCATGTGCTGAGATCCGAGCCTCCCCACATCCGCCCCTCCTTGGTCCTGCTGCAGCTCCAAATGCTGATCCACCGGAGCCAGCGGTGGAACCTCCTCTGGAACTTACCCTCAGTGGGACCCCAGTGCTAAAGGGTGACAAAGGGCTGGTGCCCGAACCGGAGGCTCCACCCACGGACGCAGTGTGCGTGGGACTCCCCAAATCTCAGGGCGTCCTGGCACCGCCTGCCCCCTCCAGGAAGGAAGCCAGGGAGGGTATCATTCTCAACTCACCCCCCAGGGATGACGGGGGGAGATTCAAGGCCGTGGGGCCTGACGTCCAAATCACCCCACCCTCTGCGCCGCGGCCACCTGAGAAGAAGACCTACTGCTGCTCCGAATGCGGCAAGGAGTACGCAAGCCGTAGCGGGCTGAAGGTAAGGTCTGGGGAGCAGCCTACCCGGAATATTCCGGAGCGTAGCGCTGGCTGGGCAGAACCCTAACCCTAACCCTAAACCTAACCCTAACCCTGCAATAGCTCAGTTGGTAGCACATCAGATGTTTAATCTGAGGGTCCAGGGTTCAAGAACCATCTGCTGCTGTAGTTAAGGACATAGAGCGTTGTCCTAATAATGCAGCAGTCCTGGCTCCTACACAGAGTATAGTCCTTCCTGTTGCTTTGGATAAAAGCTTCAGATAAACTGAACGTAGTCACAAGAGAAACATTGGGTGTTTCTCAATATCAAGAAGGCAAAGATCATAGTTGTGGTCTTGGTAAGACTGGTACTGCTAAATTGCCCCCCAAGTATGAACTAGGGGCGCAGTGAGTCATGGGATTTGGTGAGGATGTATCCTTGATATTTGGGGATTTGTACCATCCTCTGTACTACTGTTCTTAGTATTGGAACTGGCCTTCGGCAATGGAAGATGACATAAAACCGTGAGAACACAAGTACAGCCAAGTACGCTTATTGAGAAACACCCATTGACCAGGAGTTCTTGATATGGAATAACTGACATGAAGGTGTGCTTGCTATCCTGTTAGGGACAAGCCTGGCTATCTAAGCTAATGCTACCTTTTGAAAACTACCTTCCAACATTTTGTATGATTCTTAATGTTGTTTGTGCCGTTGCTGTAACGACATTGTCACGATACAACTTGAGTCAAGCATCTGCATGTGAAACCATGCGGTTTTAATGGTCAAACGTTTGTTTTCAGGGCCACATGAAGCACCATGGGGGGGTGGTGAAGACACCCCGCCAGGCAGCCCCTCGCCCTCCTCGTGTGGCCAGCTCAGCCTCTGCTGCCCCCACGCTCACCCCCACCACCGGCAGTCCCGTGAGCTTCTGGAACCAATACCAAGCCTTCCTGACCAATACCGGCGACCCGAAAGAGGAAACAGCTCCAGGCCCAGCCAATGGGAGTCAAGGAGAAGATGCCGAGATGCCACGATTGGCCGAGTCGCCCAACAAGCCTAAATCTCGGGAGGATTTGCAGATTGTCTCAGAGGAGAACAGGAACGAGTCGGTTAGAGGGACTGAGCCTGAGGGGATGTGATGCCCCTGGAAAAGACTCTGCATTCGAGAAATTTGATGTTATTTTCATTGATTTTTGTTTCTATTAACTGGACTAGTTGGTCCAATAGTTAGGTGCTGTCTAAGTAAACCGACAAGCTAGTTTTATTACATAGTGAATTGATCAGCATGGTTGTTGAATCATTTTGGAGAAAAGAATGATGAAAGAGGCGGAAGACACAGCAGAGCAAGGGAAGAGCAGGGATCAGGCGACGCAATTCATGATGAAGTATTACTACACAACTAGAGACAAAATGAATTTAGACTCTTAGATTACTTAGACCTTTACTGGGTTCCTGACACTTCGTTCTATAATCAGGGGATTAAAAAAAGGGATCTGTTTGAAAACAATACGAAGCGGTCCAAACCACACCGACCTTACAGAGAAAGGCTTTTATCCTGATATTTCCAGGCCCGGGTTCCCAGGGGAACTTTGTGGTTAAATCTGGAGCGGGACGCTTAACCCTAAGTGCTCCGGTTAAACCCCCAGTTGTATTTAATGGGTAAACAGTCACTTTGCATAAAATCAAGCAGCAAAACATGAATAGCTACTAGGTAAGGTGCCTCTCGCTGTGCTTTGAAAAATTGTGGTCATTGTAATGTGTAAATATGACCAGGGCCAATGTTTCCTCACGTATAACGTCGGGCTGTTATATTGACATTGTGTTGTGTTTATTTCCTTTGCCGGACAACCCAGCAACATGACTGGTGTCTATAACGATGTGAGTGGTCTCCCATTGAGGTGTCGATGGTTTCTTGTTCAGTATCCCAGGCACAGCGGTTTGAGTCTGCCGGCTGTCTGTCTATCTGGCTGAGTTTATGGAGGTCACATCCGGTCCTGCTGTTACGGACTCTGGCTCACATTCCGGACCTGAGGCGTCACCGCGGTTCTGACCGTGGCGGCCATGGGGAGCGGTCTGGGCTCTTTTCCTGACGCCTGACGCGCCTGTGTGAAAAACGGACGAGCGAGGGACAGTTTAGTGGTGGAGCAACAAAGGCGACGTTGTCCACATATTGTCTTTGCCTGCGACTTCCTGTGTCTTGTCCTTGTGCGGTTTTCCCGGTTCGTTCCGTAGTGACGTTGTTTCCCTGTGTTTTAGCTTCCCTCAAACGCTATTTTTTTTTTTGTTTGTTAAAAAAAAAACTCAGACATATTTTCCATCCTGTGACTTGTATTATCAAGGTATGTTTAATGTTCATCAAGAAGAAGAATAAAACAGTAATATTCACAGTCGTCAAAGGGTGGTTTTCTAGACAAGTGTTGCTTATTATATGCTTATTATGTGAACATGAATAATTCATATATATATATATACATACTGTGTATGTGTGTGTGTGTATGCATATATATATGTTTTACTAAAAAATTCAGAAATGCATGTCACATTTCGGAGCAGCACAGTGGCTCAGTGGGCCACACTGTCACCTTACATTTCTCTGAGAGCTCGCACTCTCTGTCCATGTCGCCAGCCTGTTCTCTTCCACACCTCTTCCCTCCCACAGCCCAAAGACATGCAATTAGGCTAATGCTTGTCCCCAAACTCTGTGCGCTTGCCCTTCAGTGGAGCGGCATCCCGGCCAGGGTGGGCTGTGGCCCGGTGCCCTTCGCAGCCTGGGATGTGCTCCAAGGCCCCCTGCGGAAGGTGGATGGATTCCTCCTGCTCTGGCATTGTAAGCCGCCTTTCTAATTAGAATGTTGTAGCTGCTACATATTTTGTAATTGGTCTTTCTCGGCTTCCTGTCCCGCCTTTGTATCTTTGAACCCACAGTGTCAGCTTGGCCTGGCATAGTTCCACGTCCGATTTAATATGGTGACTCTTAGATTCATTTAGTTTTGCCGCGGTCTGTGTCGCTCCTGAACCTCAGTGTTCAGGATGTGGTCAGACAGACCTCAGCACATGGTTAGAAGAGCCGGACCGGGTGATAATCCCTCCGTTTCTGAAAGGACTGCACTGTCTGAGTCAGGGAGCCTGTGCCTGCCTGTGTTCACCCTGCGTCTCCCTGTGAGTGAGCGTGAGATAGTGTGTCTTTGGCCTAGCTCTCTGACTCCCCCCCCCCCCCCCCCCCCCCCCCCCCCCCCCCCCCCCCCCCCCAAAAAAAAAAAGCAGCTCCTAATCTACACAACCATGACAACGGCTAGAAGCAGGGAGAGGCATTCTGCTCTGAACAGTGAGGGAGTGTTATAGGTTCTTATTTCTTGGGTGGGGGTTGGCCTGAGCGGTGGTGGGGGTGTCTAATGTGTGGAGCTGGATCGACTGCGCTCCAATTGAGAATCTCCCCACGTGGGCTCTGTCAGAACATAGACAGCGACTGACATGAACTGAGGGGGCATGTAGCGTAGCGCACTTAGCACTGCAGACTCGCAGCGCTGAAATATGTGCACGTTTTAAACTAGAAATCTGAGCCGGCCAACACATGAGCTAGCAAAGGCACAGCAACTGAAATTTTGCCCGATTTTTGGATGTGAGATATACTTTAATGCTCGTCTTTTGCTTCAAAGTCTCACATTCCTTAGAAAAGGTAAACATTGAAATCATGTTTTTCTGACAGATATGGTTGGACGGTTCTTTGGTTAGCGGTCTCCCTTGTCGGCCCCATAGTGGATAGCGGAAAAAAAAACAATGCAGGGAAGAAGTGTACTGGTACCTTGGTGTATTTAAACTAGACCATCGGCAGACCTGTCATTCACTGGCCAGTCTCTTCAGACCGGTGCACGGTCTCTGTGAGTCAGTCTGTCAGTCATTAAGCTAGTCACTCAGAGGAGTACTGTGGGGATATTCATACCTACTAGATTCTTTCCCAAAGCACTTCTCTGTCGATATATTTTTTTGGTGCACACTGGCTTGTAGATTTTGATATTAATGAATTTAATAGCATGCATATATCAAGCCTTAAATACTCCCGGTCAAAGAGCACTCATATTCTGATAAATTTGTCTCCCCCATGTGGCGCTCTGAGAAACTGCAGAACGCTTACAGTGACTGCTGCCATTTTCAAGTCTATAGTGTCCGTCATCTTTAGGTTGCAACCATCGCCACCCCGACTTCTGTAGACATCCTCAGTGTCAAAAAACAAAGGTTGACCTGAGTGACACATGGTGGAGGCATTTGGTACTGCAGCTTCTAGTAATGAAGTGATCTTCTAACACACCATATGGAAAAAAGTATTGGGACACCTGGCCATTACACCTACAGAAACTTCTATGACATCCCCTTCTAAATCCATAGGCATCAATATGAAATGTATCCCCCTTTTGCAGCTGTAACAGCTGCCGCTCTTCTGGGATGGCTTTCCACAAAATTTTGGAGTGTGTCTGTGGTTTTTGCCCATTCATCCAGAAGTGTGAGGCCAGGGACTGATGCTGGATGTGAAGGCCTGGCATGCAAACTCGATTCTAGTTCATTCCAAACGTGTTTCATGGGGTTGATGTCAAGGCTTTGTGTGGGCCAGCCAAGTTCTTCCACAACAAACTCACCCAACCATGTCTATATGGACCATACTTTGTGCATTGGGGTACAGTCATGCTGGAACAGAACAGGGCCTTCCCCAAACTGTTCCTACAATGTTGGAAACATAGAATTGTCCAAAATGTCTTGGTATGCTGAAGCATTAAGAGTTCCCTTCGCTGGACCTAAGGGCCCAACCTCTGAAAAACAAACCCATACCATTATCCCTCCTCCACCAAACTTTACAGTTGGCACAATGAAGTCAAGCGGGTAAAGTTCTCCTGGCATCCGCCAAACCCAGACTCCATCAGACTGCCAGACAGAGAGGTGTGATTCATCACTCCACACGACACGTTTCCCAGTGCTCCCATCTATAGCGGTGTCGTGCTTTACATCACTCCATTTAACGCTTGGCATTGCGCATGGTGATGTGTGGCATGGTGATGCAGCTGCTCGGCCATGGAAGCCCATTCCATGAACCTCCCGTTGCACAGTGTTTGTGCTGGAGTGAGTGCCTGAGGAAGATTGGAACTCTGCAGTTAATGAGTCAACAGAGCATTGGCGACTTTTACGCACTATAGCCTCAGCACTTGGTGACCCTGCTCTCTTACTTTACGTGGTCCACCTCTGTTGTTCCCAACCTTCTCCAAATACCACTTACAGTTGACCATGGAATATCTAGCAGGGAAGAAATTTCACAAACTGACTTATTGCAAAGGTGGCATCCTATGACAGCACCACGCTTGAATTCAACAAGCTCTTCAGAATGACCCATTCTTTCACAAAAGTTTGCAAACCTGACTACATGGCTAGATGTTTTATTTTATACACCTAAATTCAATGATTAAGAGATGTGTCCCATTTCTTTTGTCCATTTAGAGTATCTACAAAACTGTTCAAGTGTAAAACTTCAGTGTATACTTTTTGTGGCAATTTTCTTAATGTTGTAATTGTTATGTTTTCATTACACATAGATACACAACAAAAACATTTATTTTGCAATTTGTAACAAAAAAACTTTATTGATTAAACAAAACTGTACATGCACAGCCCCTGCCATTTGGCAATATTTAATTTTCATTATACTCCACCCAGGAGTCAACTTGCATATCATTACTTGTGATGCAATGACACTCCTCCATCCATCCAAAAAGAGGCAAGTTCTGATAGGCTGTCTATGCTGTTCTTAGTGTATTATTATGTGGGTGAAAATGTGTGTGCATTCAAATGTCTTACGATGTGCTGGGATCCCACCTAAAGAGTTCTTTTGTGTTATGCTGTGTGTTTGCAGAGAGTTTCCACACCACTTCAGAGCCATTTAAATAAGCAATTATTTAAAATCACTGGAAAGAAAAACACCCCCATATTCTCCAGTTCCCTCCCACAGTACACAAGATGTGTTGCTTAGATGGATCAGTGTCTTTGAATAGCCCCATGCACATAGCAGCTTGTGTGTTCTGTCATGAAGGGGCATTTCAAAAAGAATAAGCCCCAGCATGTGCCCTTTGCCCCCATGGGGAGGCTCTAGACTGGCTGGAACCCTGCACTGCAAAATCAGTAAGGGGAGAAAAATAAACAGATGAATAGGAAAACTGCCTCAGAGTTGCCAATAAGCTAAAAGGGTTAACAATCAAAAATCAGACTTAACCTAGAAGTTGACTGAAGAATCAAACACAGAAATAATGGCACACAATGCCACAGACTAGACACAGCTATTGGCAGCTATACACATACTGGTGAGGCGAATGCCAATGATACGTTTTCCTTAGTGAGGAACAAAATGGCACCTCATGAACCATGTGCTGTATTTTTTCACCCCACTAGGTGGTGCTGTTGGTTTGCTTTCGTGTATACTTTATGCCCTTAGACAGAAAATGAATGGTTCATGAAGCGTGATTTCATCCATCACTACTTTGCCTACCATTTTTGCCTTCCCAGACATATGCAGTGATGTTTTGTGTTTTTTCCCACAAAGCAGAATCTTTATTAAGAAAACAAAATTCCACAATGTTCAAAGACAATTGAAAGGGTCATTATTTCATACAAGAACATAATTTTGCTGGAACCCTTCAATGAAACTCTTCCGTTGACATCAAAACAGATAAAAAATACTCAGCATCTGCTCTTGCTGATTCTTCTCATGTTCATCAACAGGCAGGAAACATGAAATGCCTCTCCGGCGACAGCATTTGAAGCGGCTGTGTGGTGCACTGCATTTGTACTCAAATGCACATTTGGAGTCTTGCTGGATGCAAAAAGCATGGAAACCCTGCATTTACAAAACAGAGGCTTTGTGTCTCGGGAATGACATCACCATTCGTTTAGTAAAACGTCTTCAGTGCCGCCATTTAGGGACAGGCTTGGACTCTCTCTCTCTCATGGGAGGCTGCCAAGATGAGTGCAGCCTCTCTGTGCACTATTGCATTTCTGCCGCTGCAGCGTACTGCACCGGGGCATAAATACAGGCATGCAAACCTGGCACTGTAAGCATTTCCACAAAGTGAATCGGAACGCGATTCAGCATATGTGCCGTGCTTGATCAATTCTAGCTGCTATGCATTGTACCCTTGTAATATAATCCCCACTGAATTGAGCCCCAAATGCAACCACCAGCTCTTTATAGATTACTGGGGTTTGGACCTAAGAGAACCATCCCCTTAGCATTTGGCTTCACCTGTCATCTCTGCCTTTTTTCAAGTGCAGCAATAGAAACCTGAATAATAATGTCACGTGACCCTCCCCTCCAGTCACATTGGGCCAAAAGTCATTTCTTCTCTTGCTGTTTTTATGTCCCTTCCCACCATTGGCAAGACACTCCAAGTTTGTCGTAAAACCAGCCACAGAGAGTGCCACCCTCATTCCCTGCCTGCAGTCCCAGCCACTGCTCTGTAAAAGAGGCCAACAAACGCAGCGTCCTGCTCCTCCAGGCTGTGAAGAAAGGTGTTCCGCTCCTCCTCGGCCCACGACTCGAACCACTGAGACCACAGGCGCAGCTGACACTCGAAGATGCTGGGTGGGCGATCGCGCACCTGGAGTGTGGAAAGGCAGCGTGTAAGCCACGGCCAATCAGAGGACATATAACCACTGCCCAATTAGAGGACGAATAACCGCTGCTCAATCAGAGGACGTATAACCGCTGCCAAATCAGAGGACGTATAACCGCCGTCCTTGTGTGTGGGGGCTATACTCGGGAGGGGGAGTAGAGGCACCTGCAGTGTGTTGAGCTGCTCCAGCAGGGTGCACACCTTCCCTGGGACGGCCTTGGACAGCAGATCCTGCAGGAAGCGCTCCTTCTGGGCCGGCATCCAGCCCTGGAACCAGCTGAGAACACACCTCTGCTCTTGCAAGGTCACGTAGGAGAGGGGCACCGGGTCCCCCCTTGGCCCCAGTTCCAGTGAAGTGCTGGACAGCTCCCCCAAGCTAGGGGGCACTGTGGAGTAGGGGGGCGTGGGTAATTCCGAGAGGCTGAGGGAGGCTGTGGGAAGCTGAGAAAAAGGCCAGCCTTGCCCGGGTGTGGGTGCAGTGCCCCGTACAGCAGCAGAGGCACCAGTGCGTGTTGGAGGTACACTGCCAAGAGATGGCGGCTGCACACTGGAGCTCTGTAACACTTGAGAGAACCAGGACATTCTCTGAAGACAGGAAAAAACAGTCAATTAACATTATTATTGTTCCTGTAATAGGCTCTGGTCCCCCCTGCAACCCCAGTTGGGATCGAGTGGTTACAGTGATGGATGGATGGTCAGCATAGTTCTAGATAAGGTTACAATCATACACAAATATGTATACAGGTTAGTGTGGCTCAAAACATATTCAAGATAATTGGCAGGTTTCGAATCTAACAGACTACACCAATTAAGTTATGCGTATTTCCGTTGCCATGCAGTACCATCGATTTCCTTAGTCAACATCACTGTAATACTGACATCAACGGAGCCGAAATTGGGATGTAGCGGAGGTGCAGCGTGATCTTTGACTGGGGAAGGGATTTTAGCCTATCATGGCCGCTTTTAAAATCCCGACACGATGCTTTTATGGAGACGTACACGAAGACACACCAGTCTCCCATCGTTGTTTTAGGCATGTAGCGTAGCTTCGTGTAAATAGGGTGTAATTAGAATCGACTATCCCTAATTAGATACCTTATGGAATATATTTGCTATTTGTGGATTATGAGTTGAAAAACAGAAACTGTTGTTTTAATAAACAAGTATCTATTAAATATATTTCCCTTAAATCATACACATCGTCAGTACTACAGTTTTAGCTAGCTTTTTTGAAAGATCAAGATGGCTGGCCATGGGGAAAAAAATCTCAGACATCGTAATAATTGTTTTAAGGGAATACAAAACAACTCACCTCTGTTTATGTACTTCTGAAATGTATTATTTAAATAAGTGTCTGCTTGCGCTGGTTCCGAAGTGTAGCCCGATCGTTTGAAACAATACTTCCTGATGTCTGATTACGCACCAAATGCATTTCGGGGACTAACCGTAAACCTCTTCAGATAACCAAATCTCCTTGTTCGTTTTCGCTCCTCCTCATATCGCTCCTTTCATCACCCTTTTCGGCATATTAGATGATAAACAATGTTATTGCTGCGAACTGCGCTACATCCGGTAGCATTCAACGATCCGCCGGGTCATGTCGCGCTGACCGTATCCGGTGCCGGCATGGCGTGCGCTGCGCGATATTACAAACTCTCATAATAATTTACGATGGCCCTACGTTTCTTGTAAAACAAAACCAATTCGTTTTCCCCCATGAACCATAACACTCGAAGCCACTCAGTTGGTAGCATTACGGTGTTGGGGGGGGTTCTCGTTTTGACTGTGTGTCTGTGTTGTCATGCATATATTTCTTTGTGGGCAGCAAATCTCCTTACAATGTGATAAAAACCTGTTATTTTGACTTTGTGGGGACCGTTTTTCCTTACGAGGGGGTGTAATCAAGATGTATTTTGTTTGGTTAATTACGGTTAAGGATAGGGTTGGGTAGGGGTTAAGGCTGTTATTATTGGGATTACGGTTTTTCCCATAGAAATTAACTAATGGACGGTCCCCACAAATTTAAAACATGTAGCCTATACAAACATCTGTGCGTGTATGCCTGTGTGTATGTGGTATTTTACATATAACGTGTGGGGCCAAATTTCACTGTGATAAGCGCATGTTTTTTTGACATTGTGGGGATATTTCTTCAGTGAAGGGAAATTCAACTTTATAAAAATCTGTGAATGCAGTCAAAAAAACAAAAGATCCCTAAAGTCTTGATTACTTATTGTTAAGGTTAGGGCTGGGTAGGGGGTAAGGGTGTCACTGTAGGGATTAAGAATATGCATGCCCAGAGAAATGAATGGAAAGTCATCATAAAGACATAGATGCCTAATATATGTGTTTGTGTGCATGTGTTTGTATTTGTATATACCCTGTGATGAAGTTTAATCCCACCTTGAGGGTACCCCAGCCTTGCGCAACCCCTGCCACCCCAACCAAGATGGATGGATGGAATGTCTCTTTGTCTTTTTGACACAGTACTCAGATTATTATGCCACATGAGTGCATTCTGTTTATCTGAAGTGGTAAACGGCAATGGATATCCTTGAATCATTCATTCACATCCCACTGACAATCGTTTCCCTCTGCCAACAATTCGGACATCATAGAGAAGAAAAATTCCACCCATTCATTATCCAACCGGTTATCCAATGGAGCAGTGGTTCTCAACTGGTTTAGCCTCAGGACCCATATTATTCCTTGGTTAGAAAGTCACAACCCAAATTGACGGTTAAACCTTACGGCCAGGGCGCGGGGGGGGATACTTAGTTTTTTTTTACCCACTGAAAATAGCCTCCTGACCCACCCCTGCAACAAACAAAGGGCACAGGGCAGGGATACACCTTGGTTAGGATGCTAGTCCATCACAAGCACAGACACCCAGTCACGCACATTCGGTTATTTACACCCAACTTCATGTTTTGGGGAGAATATGCAAACTGCACACACAGAGCCAGGGACAGAGCCAAGGATCGAAAAGAGAACTAATGAGATGCGAGAGTACAGTACTAACAGCGAAGGTTCTGTTCCCCTAAAACACAATCAAATGATGGATTCCCTGGAAGTCTGCAATGGGCCAGCAACTGTATAGTGCTGGGTTTGGAAATTATTTTGTATTACCATGGCAATCGATCACCATGCAGCGCTATTCCCCTAGGTACTGCAAGCAATGAACCCCAGACGACCCTCGCTGGATTAATTGCTCTTGGGATATTAACTAGGATCGGCCGGACACCTGTGAATGCTTTCTTTTTTTTTGTACCTTTTAAGCTCTCCCTTAATGCCCAGTTATTGCTGGTTTGTGGTGTGACTTTTGTATAATAAAATACTTATATTTGATCCTTGCTGTTCCAAGTCTTGTTCCTATCTTGGGGACACTTTCTGCCTAACAGCCTGTTATAAACAAGAAAGAAAACCCCAGAGGTTCTTAATTGTGGTATTTGTCTCACTTGTACGTCGCTTTGGACAAAAGTGTCTGCTGAATAAAAGTAAATGTAAAATATGAATGTAAACTCACGACCCATTTGTATATAAAAACGAACATCCAGTAGGCTATGTTGAATACTTGGTATACTACACGTTTTAATGGCTTAAATCCATTTGTTACCAGCTTTTACAGATATCCTATGTACAGAATGGTGTATCCTACAGAAGGTACAATAAAATACATGTCAGAACTGAGACTGTTACACAGTATGGCTATAAGAAATGAATGTGCATCAAAGGGATATGCTGATAGCGGAAGACGTTATACATGCTTAGATTGTTAAAACCGTGTGTGGTTACCTATAATTAAATACTATCACCCCGATAATGAACGCATCGTTTAAAATATTTACAATATGTGCATTTACTATGATTTAAATTCAGAAAGTGTAGATTTGTGTGCGCGCCGCTGGGCAGCCGCGTTCCCCGCGCTCTCTCCTCCTCTTCCGGACGATGCCAAGCGATGACGTCGCCGGTGGAAGCCGCTGCGGCGGCCGGAGCTGGAGACCGAGCGAGGGGGAAAGCAAGATGGCGGAGCTCGAAGACGTTACGCTGGATGGAAGGCCTCTTCATTCGCTCCGGGTGGCGGATTTAAAGGCCGCCCTGGCGCAGCGAGGCCTCTCCAGAAGCGGACAGAAAAATGCCCTCATCAAGAGGCTCAAAGGGGTAAGCTGGGGCGCCGGTTTCGGTGCGCCGCACGAAGAAGTTTTGGATTTGGACTGCGGCGGCTAGCTGGAGCGAAAAGCCGAGCGACAGGCCGAGCGTCGGCGGCTCGGAGGGGAGGGCGACCGCTCGAGTTTGTTTGTGTGTGTATTTGTGCGTGTGCTTGGAAAATGACTCTGTTACTGTGGTGTTTTTGCAGAATAGTTCCCAATACCGTTGCCCCGGGGATGGTTGGCTAGCTATATTTAGCTAAAGTTCGCCTGTCGAGCTAATCGAAGAAGCCCTGGCAGAGACTGTGGGCTGCCCTAACGTTAGCCGCCTGTCTGCGCTTGTCTGTTTTTTTTTTTTTTTTGCATGTCAGTTTTAGTTAGTTTTAGAGTAACCGGCGGGATCGCGCTCCCTGCGACCTCGCACGGCGGCGGGGGCGCGCCTGCCCTCGGTATGTTTACTAGCCGAGTGACTGGTTCGCGCGCCGTGTAAACTGGGCTGAATTTGTGGAGTTAGTTGGATGCGTCCGGGAGCGCCGCCGTCGACGGGAGGGAAAGTGCGCTGCTGCCCGGGGGCGCGCCGCGCTCGTCTCCGCAAGCGAGCCGCAGTTTGGCGTAGATGACTTACCAAGCATAACAAGTGAATCCATATTTTTGCATTTCGAATTTCAATAGTGGAGAGTGTTTTTTTATATATGTATATATATTTATATATATATATATTTTTTGGACATCTAGAAATTTGTTCAAATACATGACAGCTATGACGGCCTGTCTGATTGACTACCTGTTTACACGTTTATTATGCTGGTGTGTATGTTTAGATACGATGCACTAATTAGTATGTCGTTCAGTGTAGTTAGCGGCTGCAATCGTGCTTAAGGTAGTTGGATTTTTACCTGTCGGTGATTGCTTTGAAATTTATTGGCTAAAAGTTCCTGCTGTGAGGTAGCAGCATGACATACGAAAAGAGAACCGCCGAGTATATCTTCAGTGGCTTACCGATGTAATACTTAAATCATTAAAAAGGAATTGCTTTGCGGTGCTTAATTGTGACGTTGTTGTGTCGGGACAGCACAGAGTGAATCTTTTTTTATTTATCGAATTAGCATGTTACAGTAAAACCTTTCATGGTATTAATTTGATCCCTTTGCTTTTTCGTCACAAATAAATGTTCCACAATTTATGCTACCCTTGCTGTTATCCATGACTATGCTACAAAACCACGTGTTGCCAGTATTTAATTTTCCAGTGCAGGAAATTCGAAGTACCCTGTTAGGTTAATAATAGACCGATTTATCGCCATTAAATGCCCTTGCAACTGTGATAATTTTTTTTGCCACATTTGAAACCTAAAAGTACAGTTTAACCAAAGCATTAGAACTGTTCAGGAAACAGTAACGGTCTTCACAAAGCAAATGGGTGTTATAATTGTGTCAGGGACTGGATTACTGCCCATACATGTGCAGCAGCTTAAATATTTACCTAAACGTAAATGCAAGCTACTATTGGATAGTGCTGGGGGTCTTGTAGCAGAACTCTGCTACTGACTATGAAAGATGTTTGTTTTTGTATCTCGAAACATAACCCTAGTGTCAGATTAGTAAGGAATGTACAGGTGCCCCATGAGGTTGATTATAGAATCTTCTCCACACATTATTTTCCTCTAGCACAGTTTCTTAACAGCGTACTTTGATCACCTGTTAAAACCTGACTGCTGGGCCGCAGGTGCTGTTTTTGTCATTTGAAGTGAGAGGGTAGGTGGGTGGGACTCTGCAAATATTTAACTTCACTGAAAGGCGTTTTTATGTTTCTCCGGTGTGTGGCTTTCCTGAGACGGCACTGAGAGGCTTATAAGTGGCGAAAGCCTTTAAGTTTTAGCAGGTAACATTAATCTGTAATTGTGACATTACCCTGATAACTGGTTTTGGTTTTAGACAAAAAATACCACCCATGAAAAGCACTTTTTTTGGTGTGGGTGTGGTAAGATATGCTTATTCCCCGGGCACTGGCCAACCATTCCTTGTTACTATACTGATAATACATTGACTGTTTCTAAGTTCTTTTGATGTTTTGGGGGAGTATAGTGGCTTTGCCTTGACCTTGAAAATAATAATTATTTTGCTGTTTTGTATCCTAGGACTCCATTCCTTTAATACTTTATTGATATCAAAGAAAGAACATTGTTATAGGCCATGTGCCTTTGAAGTTCTGTAGTTTGCCCTGTAGCTGCTTCAGGATGAGGTCTTATTTATATGCTGTCTACTTTTTATTTCTGGTTAACTGTCAGCTCTGTAGTTGCAGGTGCACCTTACACTTTCATTCCAAAACATTGTAAAAAAAAAAAGTTCCCCATATATTCTACTGAAACACTGTGATGATAGCTTCCCTACAGCTGGAATTAAGTGTTGCTGGGGTTATGTTTGGGTTGCATCTAATTATCACATGAGCGGCGGGTGGAAGGAAAGACTGAGATGACTGCTGGTACAGAAAGACAAGCAGTTACTATTAAACAGTTTAGCATTTTAAGTGGCACAGTGCGAAAAGGAGTATGGGTGTATCCCATAATAATCCTTGAAAAGGAAAATGGTGGTAGAGCTATGCTGTGGGCCTCTGCTGTGTGTTCGGTTTGATTCTACTGGGTCACTAAATGTTAAATGAAATTGCTCTGTGTTGTAAGCCATATAAGTCATCAGTTGTTTTATTTAAGTCTTCAGACAGGTTGGGGCATCCTGTCTAGATGTTCCTTTCACGCAACTGCTATGATGTTAATTATATGATAAAACAAAAATTTAAATATTTAAGTCATTGGAGCTGGTCTGTTCTCTATTCTGTGGGCTAATTGAGATGATGCTGTGCTGCATTTCAGGCTCTAATGTTGGAGAACCTTCAGAGAACCTCTACACCTCACATTGGACTTCAACCAAACTCCCAGGTGAGCCGCCCGCCTTGCGTTGGCGTTTCATGTTGTAGTTGCGAGTGGGAGTGGGATGAGCATGAGGCCTGTGTGTGCTGTAAAACTTGCAGGTTTCTTACTTCTAAGGATACTTGAATGTTTTTTTGGCATCGTGGTGCCTGTGTAAACAGAGGATTTTGTTGTTCCAGATATATGCAGGGTAGCTTGTGTAGAGCAAAGTCTCTACGTGTAGTTGATTAACAGCAATGTATTTATAAAACCCCAGTTTGTTTGGGGGTTCAGTGTGGCCCAGTGAGCTAAGCCTCTGTGTCTGTGATTGTAAGGTTGCCGGTTCGAGCCCAGCCTTGGCAGAATAGTCACATCTGTGGGCCCTTGGGCAAGGCCCTTAACCCCCAGCTCCAGGGGTGACACTACAGGTTGCTTCCCTTTACTGCCAGGCTCGCTCTCACCTATATAAGTGTTTGTTTGTCATGGAGATCAACACAGGGTAGCTGAAAAGAGAATTTCCCCATGGAGATCAATAAAGTATTGTTTTGTTTCATTTTATTTTATTTTAATTTCATTTCAACCCTGTCTGTATTGTGTTCTAGATTGGGGAGGAGATGAGCCAGAACAGCTTTATAAAGCAGTACCTGGCCAAACAACAGGAGCTCCTCAGGCAGCGACTGGAAAGGGAGGCTAGAGAAGCAGCCGAGGTCGATGGTGAGACCACCTGTGTACCCCTCTGTCTCCTGCATTGCCGCCGTCCACTGTGTACCTTCCTCTCTTGTGGCTGGTTTGATTAGTAGAGCATTCGTAACATTGTTTAATTAAAACCTTGATAAATGGGACGTTTTTACGAATTGTGACTTGGAACGATTTCCCATACAGTTCCATGCTTTACTCTTCTATGGGTGCTTTCTACCGCATGAAGTAATATACTTTTGGTACAGTACTTTAGCTTTTCCATTGATTTCCGGTTGAGTGCCAATACCAAAAGTGCCAAACCAGCTGGGGTACTTCTTTAGTACTTTGGGGGGCTTTATCGATTGGTTATGCAAATAGCCTGCCACTGAAACACAATACAAATGCCGCCTTGAAAGCAGTTGTGAATTCAGAAATTAATTATGAACGAAGTAAAAAAAAAAAAAAAAAATTATTTGTATGAACATACACTATATTGCCAAAAGTATTGGGTGTTCCAATCACTTCCATAGCCACAGGTGTGTAAAATCAAGCACCTAGGCATGCAGACTGCTTCTACAAACATTTGTGAAAGAATGGGTTGCTCTCAGGAGCTCACTGAATTCAAGTGTGGTATCATGATAGGATGCCACCTGTGCAAGAAGTCCAGTCGTGAAATTTCCTCGCCACTAAATATTCCACGGTCAACTGTTAGTGGTATTATAACAAAGAGGAAGCAATAGGGAACAACAGCAACTCGGCCACGAAGTGGTCGGCCCACGTAAAATCAGAGCGGGGACAACGCATACTGAGGTGCACAGTGTGCAGCAATCGCCAATTGTCAGCAGAGTCAATGGCTACAGACCTACAAACTTCGTGTGGCCTTCAGATTAGCTCAAGAACAGTGCATAGAGAACTGTATGGAATGGGTTTCCATGGTCGAGCAGCTGCATCCAAGCCTTACATCACCCAGTGCAATGCAAAGCGTCAGATGCAGTGGTGTAAAGCACACTGCTACCAGTTTCCAGAGAAGTGGAGATGTGTTCTCTGGAGTGACGAATCACGCTTCTCCATCTGGCAATCCAATGGACTAGTCTGGGTTTGCCGGTTGCCAGGAGAACGGTACTTGATTGACTGCAAGTTTGGAGAAGGGGGGATTATGATGTGGGGTTGTTTTTCAGTGGTTGGTCTTGCCCCCTTAGTTCCAGTGAAAGGAACTCTTAATTGTGCAGCATTCAAAGCCATTTTGGACAATTTCATGCCTCCAATTTCTTGGGAACAGTTTGGGGATGGCTTCTTCCTATCCCAACATGATTGCACACCAGTGCACAAAGCAAGGTCCATAAGGACATCAATGAGCAAGTCTGGTGTGGAGGAACTTAAGTGGCCTGCACAGAGCCCTGACCTCAACCTGATAGAACACCTTTGGGATTAATTAGAGCAGCGACTGCGAGCCAGGCCTTCTCATCCAACATGAGTGCCTGACATCACAAATACTCTTGGAACAATGGTCAGAAATTCCCATAAACACACTCCTAAACCTTGTGGACAGCCTTTCTAAAAGAGTTGCAGCTGTCATAGCTGCAAAGGGTGGGCAAACTCCATATTAAAGCCTATGTATTAATAATGTGATCTCATTAAAGTTTGTGTGTGTATAGGCAGGTGTCCCAAAACTTGTGGCAATATAGTGTATACAAAAAAAACGGTCTGGATGGTAAGTCAAGAAATGAAGTATTTTGTTGAATATACTAATACTAGCGATGCAATTTAGTTATGATAAATATTGGGGTATTTATAAAACAAAAAAGCAGTTCCAGAATTTCTCACAAACCTGTCTTTGAGTGATTTGAGGGATGTGATGGTTAAGTTGCCCCTTTGGTAGTTTATTGGTTGGGGCAGGGGGGGGTGGTCGCCATTGTAGGTTAACTGGTTGTTCCTTCCTCCCCTTCTTAGAGACGGACACCCCTGCTGGCCGAGATCAGGAAGAGCACACATCTGGCAACGACACCTGCGCTTCTTCAGGACAGGTCAGTTTTTGTATTGTGTGCCAAGAAGCTGCCAGAAAAAAGTCTATTCGTGACAGGAGCTTATTTTTCTTATTTAAACTCAATGTTTTAATGACAAAGCCTTATATGGATTTCAGAATGGTACATAGCATGAAACTCTAAGCCACTCATCACCTGATGGTGTCTGCAAAAAAGTCGTATTAGTCTACCCTGAAATGATTACATTAAGTCCAAAGTGAAATAGGTTAATCTGAGCCATTATAACAATTGGGTTGGACATTACCCATTGAGGTTCTGCATGTCTAACTAAGGCTGGACCTCCCTGTCAGGAGGTGTCCCCTGCACAGGATGATCAGCGGAAGCAACAGGCTCCCCCGTACACTGGCATTCGGGCGGAGGAGGGTGGATCACACGGGGGGTCAGGTGAAGACAGCAGGGTTAGAGATGGGGAGGGACCCCAACCTTCTGCCCCCATCTCAAAGTATTACAGTCAACGGGCTGCCCATCAAAATGCACACGATGGCCAGGTGGGTGCCCCCCTGGCTCCTGACCACAGGACTCTGCACTTCTCCGGTGGCGTAAGTCGCGGGGAGCAGGAAGCCCACCAGCCAGCTGCAGCTTTGCCTAGGGTGGTGGCGTCACTGTCCGTGCGTGTAGTTGGGGAGCCAGAGAGGGCAGGCACGGCATTCCCTGGACCCCCAAGGGAATCTGTCCCTAGCCGCTCCACGGCAGAACCAGCCCAGAAGGCCCAGGAAGGATCTGCCCGGCCAGAGAGCGACGAGGACAGCTTTGATGAGGATGATGATAAGGAGGAGGAAGAGGGTGTGGGAATGAGGAGGAGACGAGGGGAGCCGCCCAGCCGCTCGCGAGCACGCGAGAGAGCCAGACGCACTCGGCAAATGCCGCAGCGCATAGTGCAGCCGCAGCTGCCTCATCAGCCCCAGCTGCAACTCAGGCAGCCCACGCCACCTCCATCGCCTCCCCCAGAGCTCTCCTTCCCTCTACCTGACACCCCCAAGCAGAGCCCCCCCAATGTAGAGGAGCCTAGTGGGGCAGCTGTAGGAGCTGGCATGCCGGTGCCCCCACAGAGGGGTAGTTTGTCACCTGCTCTCCAGCGTCAGGACAGCAGCAGCAGTTCTGGCTCATCTAGCAGCAATAGCCGCAGCAGCAGTCCAGAGCCACAGGGGGGTGCTAGAGAGCGTAAACCTGGCCCTCTTACCCTGTTGGCCCGGAAGATGGAGTCAGAGGGTGCTTTTGATGGGGGAAAGGGAAAGGGTAACCTCGAGTTTGAGGACTTACCAGAAGGAGCCAACAGTCAGAAATACAGTGCTGCTGCTGTAGCCACTATCACATCTGTAGATGGCACTGGTTTATTCCCTGGCACTAATCTAATGGGGAAAGGGTCAGGGTTACCTGTCCCTATGGGTGCAGGTACACTGCCTACTATTATGTTTTCTGGCACAGCTTCAACACATGGTCCTGGAGTGAGTGTAGCTGCAAAGATAGGAGAGCGTCAGGAGAGGATCTTAGAGGGAAGAAATGTGAGTCTTTTTGAGCAAATGAGTGTGGAGACTTCTCCCCAAACTGATTTTTCGGTTGAGCAACAGACACAGGATTTCAGGGGCAGGGAGAAAGTGTTGGAAAGAGAAGAACGGATAAAGCAGCAGGAGCTGGAGAGGGAGAAGCTCGAGAAGGAAAGGCAGGAGCAACTAGAGAAACAAGAGAAGGAGCTAGAGAGACAAGAGAGGGAAAGGCTGGAGCAGGAAAGGCTGGAGAGGGAGCGGCTGGAGCAGGAAAGGCTGGAGAGGGAGCGGCTGGAGCAGGAAAGGCTGGAGAGGGAGCGGCTGGAGCAGGAAAGGCTGGAGAGGGAACGGCTAGAACGGGAGAGATTGGAGAGGGAACGACGGGAGCAGCAGGAGCGGGAGAGGCTGGAAAGGGAACAGCGGGAGAGGCTGGAGCGGGAGAGGCTGGAGAGGGAACAGCGGGAGCGGCTGGAGCAGGAGAGGCTGGAGAGGGAACAGCGGGAGCGGCTGGAGAGGGAGCGGCTGGAGCGGGAGCGGCAGGAGCAAGAGAGGCTGGAGAGGGAGCGGCAGGAGCAGGAGAGGCTGGAAAAGGAGAGGGAGCGGCAGGAGCAGGAGAGGCTGGAAAAGGAGAGGGAGCGGCAGGAGCAGGAGAGGCTGGAAAAGGAGAGGGACCGGCAGGAGCAGGAGAGGCTGGAAAAGGAGAGGGACCGGCAGGAGCAGGAGAGGCTGGAGAAGGAGCGGCAGGAGAAGCTGGAGAGACAGCAGCTGGAGCAAGAAAGGCTGGAGCGGGAGCAGCAGGAACAGCAGGAGAGGTTGGAGCAGGAAAGACAAAAACTGGAAAGGCTGGAGAAAGAGCGGCTAGAGAAAGAGAGGCAAGAACTGGAGCGAGAGAAAGCTTTGGTCCGAGAGAGGGAGAGTCGTCTACCACCATGGAAGCGTGGACGAGAGATTGGGGGATTTTCCTCTTCCTTACATCCAGCTTCAACTCTATCCACTGCAGCAGATAAATGTGTGGAATCCATGGATAAGGACCTGGAGAGGCAGGAACCAGTTATAGTGCACTCCCAGTTGCAGCCACTAGGCGAGAATCAGCCATCCATTCCAGTTTCACCCCAGTCATCCAAGAAGTTCCACTTCCTTCGGGAGACCCGCCAGTTGTCCTCACCCTCTACCGCTACCCCAGTGATCAAGAGGCCGCGTACCTTTTCTGATACCCCCCCTTCAGTGGAAAAGGAGGGTGGCAGCAAAACTACTATTCCAGAGGGAACATCTGGCACACAGAAGGACATAGACACAGATTTTCATACCTCCACTGTCATTGCAGACACACAGGAATTACAGAAAACACTCCCACAGCAGGGTGGCCATGCAGGACTTCCTCAAACTCATGATTTGGGGTCCCCTTGGCTAGATGAAAAGGGCATATCGACTAAGCTATGTGAACCCCATCGACAAGTATCAGTGGATGAACTCAAGCCATTAAAGGAAGCTGAATCAACACAGAAGGAGAAACAAAGAGCTGCTGAGGTACCTAAAGGAGCTCTTGAGCATTCCCTGCCTGCCTTGCCCCCTCCACCTCCAGCAGAAGAAGCTGAGGTGGGAAGAGAGGGTGAAAAAGAGGAACACTCATCTCACTCTGACTCCTCTTCATCCGACTCGGATTCTGGGTCATCGTCGTCTTGTTCCTCAGGCTCCTCTTCATCATCATCATCATCTTCCTCTTCACAGGACCAAAGCATCTCTGCTTCCAGTAAAAGGAAGGTGAGTGGTTTTAATGTCTGTCCTGGATTTGAATGATGTCTTTGTGGTGCAGCTAAACACCCTGAAGCACACATTGATTCTTACTGGTCAGGTTATGGTTTGAATTTGAGCAGCATCTTTGTAGCTGTGCTTGTGAGGAAGTCTGTTGAGATACCTTGGCTGGGTACTGCAAGGTTTTTTTTTTCAGTGCCTGTAAAATGCTGTTTGCCATTGATGACTTGCTCACCTTACAGGGATACCTAAGCTGTCTTGGTGTGTAGAATGTTTGGATTTGGTTTTTTTATCCTAGGAAATGGTGGTGTGGTGTTGGGCAGATAAGTTTCTCAATTATTTTTCATTCATTGAGAGTAGTTCCTACTAAAGTTTTTGACACTGAAAAGTGAAATTCCATAACAAAGGATATAAAAAGATGAGTAATTATTTTGCTTGTACTTGCATGAGGCTACTTACTGTCTGGAGCTATTGGACCTATTATGCTGCCATTTTTCAATGAAAAAATCTGTAATTTGAGAGATGCTCAAGTGCTGCTCCAGAATTTGCCATAAGTTCTAGAGATGTGATGGCTGCAGAGGCCTTGGATAGGTTTTATGTTTTCATGGTCAGCATACTATCTGTTGACCGATCTTGCTGTCGTGCTGGGGGGCTTGTATTCCTGGATAGTTCTGATTCTAGCATTTTCTAGTTTTGTTAGATATCTGATTTAATTCTTTTAGATATCATTTAGCACGTTATAGATGATCACTCAGTAGGGCTCACAAAATCTATAGCCCAACATCCGGGACATTCAGTTTTTCCCATCAGGCTACCAAAATGTAACAACATCCTACACGACAGAAATTATAACCCCTAAGTAAAATAAAATTCCCTCCTTGATTTTATTTTTTTTTTCTGCGCATTTGACTTTCTGTTTGAAGGAAAAACGTTCAAACAAATAAGATATTGATCATCATTTTGAGTTATCCACTAGTAAGTGTACTCCTAAAGCCTGATTTATAGGAGGGTTGCATTTTATTGTGCAATCACCTCATGCTGCCATCTTGCTGCATTGTCGGTCATGATAATGGAGTACTCTGGGTACGTTAATTCAAGAAAATGAACTCAAGTATAGCTCTATTATCATGCCAGTCATATTCTGTGCACTGCATATGGTGACGAGAAATAACGTTATATAAACGTTACATAAAAGCATATAATATAAAGAGAAAACCAATATTACTGGATGGAACCCATACACAGTGAAAACAAAATTGTTTCATTCATGAGGATATTGTCTGATTTTTCAAATGTCATCATAATAGCGAAGTAAAAGAAAGCAACTAAAGTTCTGGAGGTTGAATTTCTTTATTTCCGGTTTAGTACAAAAACAGCAGAGGAAAAAGTATGGGTGAAATATTTTGATGTATTCACGAGTAAGCACAAGTATAAATCTCATGCTTCATAATCTTTGACCCTAGATTATCATTATTTTCATCATGTAATATTAACTTTAAGCAGTTACATTGTTCTGTTAACATTACAGCACTGTGTCTGTTATTAAAACAAATATGCTTTGTTAGTGGATGTTTTTAAAGGCGAATTGTTGATCAGTTTATTTTATCTCTGGATGTGCAGCTGCAGGGACTGTCTGAGCGGTTGTTTCTTTTTGCTTTACTCTCTCGATGTCTGAGATGAGTGCTTTTAATGGTCATCCATTCGTCCGTGGTCAGCCTCGATGTTTAGCTCACTGATGTCGCGCTGCTGAATTTGCTTGAGTATATACATGTATATGTAAGCTATACATTATAGAACGGCATCAGGGTCAAAACCTTAATGCATCAAATTAATACTCCTTACATACCAATCTCCTGTTTTATGAGCAACTGTGATGTAATCATTCGGACAGTCAGTTTGTGTGGGTATCAGTTTGGTATTGATGGGGATTCTGGCTCTTTTTAGTGATCTATATCATTTGGCTCAGCTAAGTAGTAAGAGCCAGCTCTTTTGACTGGCACACGGTTCTTCGTCAATATAATTTCTATCTTTTATAATTAAAGTTGCAACCCATCCCTTGCAATATGCGATCATCCCTTATTGGAATGCTGCATCCCATATTATATGGGTGGCAGTTCTTTTTATAATTCAGCCAAAATAAGCAATGTTGAATGCTGTAAATTACCGTTTCGCTGCAAACACTAAGCATAGTGCATCTGGTCTTTATGCAAAAATGTACGTTACAATTTTAATGCTACTGTAGTGTCCATATGTAATAGTCGAACTTTGAACAACATGGGTTTGAACAGCGCAGCTCCACTTTTACACAGATTTTATTTTCGAGAAATATATTGGAATTTTTTGTCTTGTGTAGTGTATGTCAAATGCATAAAGCATGCATTTGCGTTTTTATTAACAAACGTGGTATTTATTACACTAATCTGTTGCATAAAATGTTCATTTTCAAAAAAAAAATCTACAAAAGAGCTGTGGTTCCACATAGCTTATAGCAGGGGTGGCCAATCTTATCCGCAAAGGGCCGGTGTGTATGCAGGTTTTCACTGCGACTCCCTAATTAGATTACTAATTAGAGGACTGATTGTCTGAAGAGTCCTCACACCTGGGTTTGAACAGCTGACCTACAGGTTATCCCAAAAACCTGCATACACACCGGCCCTTTGCGGGTAAGATTGCCCACCCCTGGCTTATAGGGTTAAATCACCTCTGCATGAATCGGCGAATCTTTATGAATTTTTCCACTTTTAATTTTTGATATCTAGTATTACCAATACATGTAGAGTCTACATGCAGTGTTTTGTATCATAAGGTTATTAAGTAAGCATTATACTAAACCTTCCCATCTGCCAGCATTGCACATACTGGTGTTACCTCATGAGTTCAAAATCAATCCTGAAGAATTTTTTCCAGGGCAACCTCATTTATGAGCAGGCAACCTGGGGTTACCTTATGGGCAACCTGAAAAAATCCTTAAAATCGAACACTGGTGATGATGACGGACTGCTGTGTCCCAAGTTCACTACTGGTACCAAGTTCATGTTGCCTCGGTCGTACATAGTGGCTGGTTTGCCTAATGTGAATTAAGAATGGCCATTAGCATATGCTTTAGGGGTAAATTATCTTTTTAAAATTTGGGCTGCTACTAACAACTATTTTTCTATGGATTGATCTATCAACTATTTTACCGATTGGTCGATTTAATCTAAATGTAAAATTTTTCACATAATGGACGCCGGCTATTCGGCACTATGCGGATATTATTTTCGCCCACAATTTCATAAGCAAATTAGTAGTATGCCTAAAATATTAATGAAGTGAGTATTGTGACTCCCAGAAGTTAGTAATCTGCTTAAATTCGGCATATTCTTATGCTTATTAAACTGGATTTAGCGGAGCGCCCCGTGCTTTAGGGGGGGGGGGGGGGGGAATCAATTCTGTCACAAATTGTGATTCTTCAAGGTGGCGATTCTGGTATCTCAGTGAGAGTTAAAAAATACGTATTAACTAGTGTAAACAGTTTATCATTGTTATGATATGAATTTTTGTCATACCGCAATACCGGTTTAAATAGCCTAAACAAGGTTCGGAAAGCGGCGCAGCTGGAAACTGTTTAAGTGGGGACCTTTTTCACTGCTGCACCGCTAAAAATGTACCGAAAGATCAGAAACTGACGCTGGAGTTGAAAATAATGAGACACTGCGGTTGTCCAAAAATCGATTCTCAGATACTAATCGATATTAAAAATTTGTATCTGATTAGATACTCATTTTCACCATTGATACCAACAGTGCAGTTTTCGCCTCATTCGCCACACTTCACACAGCACTGCAGCACACACACACACACTTGCACAGCCCCTCCCCTGCTCTCAGCCGCTGAATGCATTCGTGCTGGTTAACGCACATACCGAGTTGGCCGAACGTGGCATATGCTGCAGTTGAAGGCACTTTGCAAGCTGCTTTAGTCAAAAAAAAGTGCAAAAGTGCCGTTTGGAAGTATTTTGCAGATAAGCATTGAAAGGCTAAGGATGTCGGTATGCAAACAGTGCTACAAAGTTGTGGCGAAGTCAAGTAGCAAATCAAACTTGGCGAAGCATCTTACGCGTTCCAGCAACACTGAACCATTAAACACTTATCAAAAATGTTAACTTGGCCGGCGCGCACCTTAACATTAGCCATTTATCTATAAGCAGTTAACCAACAAATACGTTAGCCGTCTGTTATCATTATGGTAGCGGATAGGCGCAATGACTAATAATAAAATAATATAATGTGGGAACAATACAAAAACGTAAACATGTCCTGTATAATCCTGTAAAATGTGGTAAACGCCCAGTCATACTTAAAAAAATAATAATAATAAAAAAAAAACATTGTTATACCGTGAAACCGGTATAACTTTGAAAAATACAGTGTGATAAATTTTTGGTCATACCGCCCAGCTCTAATTTAAACATAGGTTACTGAAATTGTTGTTCACATTTGGTACTGCTGATAAATTTGCCCAATTGCACACAGCCTGATTCTCTTAAGGGAGTGGCATGCGCAAGCTTGGCATGGTGCTATCATGAACGAGTAAACATGCAGAGAACTTTTCCTGCACCATCTCAATTTAAAACCACTAACCACAAGTGTGTGAAATGTAAACTTTCAAGGAATATCTCTATACCTCTTCCCTGAGCACTAAGAACAGTTTCTAAGCAAATAATTTAAAACTATTTACACCTTGTTTGAACTCTTCCCTTGGGTTTCACCTCACTCCCTGTCTTACACTTTCATTGGCTGTAGCTCATCTCCCTACTCATTGCCAATCGCAACACTCTTCACACTACAGGATTTGGAGTTGCTGACAGGTCCAGAAACGGGCGTCTAGAACACGTTGACGATTCTGTCCGATTGCGTTTCTGAACTAATAGTGATCGAGCGCCAGTTTGCAAAGCCAAGCGGACACCAATTTGCCTTTGATCTCGGGGTTTTGCTGGCGATTGCCTAAAGCTTTCAGCAAGCAAAAGAAATAGGGGCTAAAATCATGTATTATTAACTTTAGTGTTAGTTATTTTTTTAGCCCAGTCTGAATTTCCTGGCAAAAACACACACTTGGATGATACCGACTAAAATGCGTTAGCATGTTGGATGTGTTTCGAGAAAAATATCCAGGTTTAAAAATATCTGGTATAACAGAGCCGACAGACATTCTTAGTCTTATCAACTACTCTCTCTCTCTCTGGTGTTGACGTAACTTACTAGGAAGCCAAAATATTTGCAACCTACTGATTTAAGTGATGTGGAAGGGTCTTTGAGGTCTCTAGGACTAGCTGTAACCAATTCGAAGCCACAATTAGCATAATGTTTTCCATGTTGAACATCTATTTGTGAATTTAGGTTTCACTTGTGTCAAGAATTGTATTAATTTGTGTCACTGCATGATCCAAACTGAAAATTATGTAACTGAAAGGTATATGATGAATATGTGTGCTGTTACAGCCCTTATCTTTACTTAAAATGTAGACTTGAAATGCTCTTCAGCGAAATCTGTTTAAAAATTGTGATACATATCGAATTGGCAAACATATCGATATAATACCCATTTGGGCGGCTCACTGCCGATTTCCACCCCTAGTATGCTTCCACATCGAATTTTGAAATAGGTTTTTATTGTTTCCTCGTGTGTGTATATATGCATTTTTAAATTGTCTTTTTAAAATTTGAGCTGCCACTAAGAATTATTTTTCTATGGATTAATCTATGAACTATTTTACCGATTTGGTCGATTTTAATCTAAATGATTAATTTTTCTCCAGAAAATCAGACTGTAAGTACATTTTTTTTGACGACATCAAACTGTTATTACAGGGCTTTGCATAATGGATGCCAGCTTTTTGGCACTATTGTGACGCCCAGAAGACAGTAATCTGCTTAAATTTTACTTTGTGATAATAACACTGGGCCGAACTCCCAGTAAGCCCAATGTGCATAAACACACAGTGGCACTGTCAATCCACATAGAATAAGACCAGGGGGGTATTTTCCGTGCGTCGCTTAAATCATCCGAGATCAGATGCCTCATCCGGGATAAGTCGGTTTTTCAAACGCAGCAGTGTAGTAGATTAGGCTAGCTGGATCCATTCATCCGAGATGATTGCCCACTCTGCTTGAAAAGCCCATACATATCGAGTCTAGAAAACATGATCGGCAAGTCTTTTGATGGGCTGCAACAAAATGACGAAAGGAAGGGCGCACATTTTCACACAAGCGGAGCAGGACCTCGTATTAGAAGGATATGAAGAATTTCAAGAACTTAAACAGACCTGGCAAAATAGGTGTTATATCCAGAGTTGCTGTTCGCCCAGAACACAACTACAGGACACCATTTACTCATGCCACACCCCAGCAGACACACTTGTGGTATAGATTATTATATTGTACATGTAGTAATCCAACTTTACCTGAGCAGATGCGTGACTATTAATAATCCCGACTACGTATCTGCGCTGGATATCAGCGGCTCGCCACGCTCCTTGTAGGCGGAGCCTGCATGTCCGTTATAGCCGAACAGAACTACAGCTAAAAGCGGCCCTGGGGACCAAATTGTTTGTCTGTTATAAGCGAAATTCCATTATATGCGAGTCCGCTATAACGGGATTTTACTGTACGTAATAATTCCAGATCAAACATAAGCACAATGAGATGGGAACAGGTTAAAGTGAAGTACAAGAATATACTTCAAACCGGTAAATATTGGTATATAACTATTTAAAGAATTGTTGACATATATATACACACACACACACTTAAATATACGTATATATACTTCGCCTAGTTTGACTTTGAATATAAGGTGCTAATAAATCTTTGAGGTACCACTTTAGCCGAGGGGGAATATTGTATCTTTTGAAAAAAAATTCCTCCGGGAGCAATTAAGGATCTTGCCTGGGATGTTAATTGCTGAACTTATGGTATATGACTGGAAGCAATGGCATAGGGGAGTTTCACATTTGGGGGGGGGGGTGGACATAACTTAGTAATCTAAACAAAAGGTTTATTTATTTGGGGGAACAATTGAAGCCAAATTAAATGTGGGGGCCAACTTCACGCAGGTCACAATCGATTCTTTCAGTGGACCTTGGCTTTGTGATACTGATGTAATTTGGCCCTCGTTGGGAAAAATAGGTGGAGTCTCTCAGGCTAGAGTATAAATTTCCAGTTTAGTAGACTTTAAAAAAAAAAATGTAAAAAAAAGCAGTTTAGCAACATCTGAAGGAGAGGTTGTTGATTCTCCCACCTGCTGCTTCAGCACCTCCTGGAGGCTTGTTAGTGCCTGAGGTCTACTGGGTGATTGCGAGGAGGTGGTGAGGTGATTGTTCAGCTTTGGGGACCATAAGAGTGCTAAAGTAATCAGCTGGAGCTGTCACTCAGTGCTGTGTTCTGTCATGTCTTAGGAGCTAAATTAAGAAAAGTGGACTGTGAAGCCGGGACTTTGCTCTAAGGAAATTGTTCTGTGACTGGATATTTGTTAAATGACCTCATGTATAGAGCTCTGTTGATATCATGAAGCTGTTATGTCGGTGTATCTAGATATACTATAACTTTGTGCCAGTGTTATGGTGGTAAATATCACATGTCTGCATGGCCTCATTTACTATTTAAGTCTGGTGGATGACCTTTTTTTTTATGCTGTATTTCCACAAATCTCAGTCTACCAGCACTTTGGGAGAGACCCAGGACAGCAGGAAACCAGTGCAACCAGAAAGCTCCCTCAAAGCCACCACTGGGCCACAGCGCAAGAGGACAGCACGGGAGAAGGAGGACGGTGTGCCCGCAGAACTGAGACAGATCAAGGTCAGCCTCTCAGCCTCAAGGTCAGCCTCCCCTTTCCCTATGTCGAGCAGAAAAACCTGAGTGTCACTGTCCCATTATCTCCAGAAGCCACGTGCTGAAAGAACAGGGGAAGAACGGGAGGATCGTGAGAAGGATGATGATGATGATGATGATGATGATGCAAAAATGGAGGTTACTCCGAGTCATTCATCCAGGTTGGTCAAAGTCAAAATCATGGTTACTGCAAACACTGTATGATTCCAGTTTAGGTGGCGAGGTGGCTTTCATACAGGCACATGCAAATTCATGTAAACTGATCCTAAGAGTGCATACGTGATGCCGCTTGCATGTGGAACGACCTCTTAGAGTATCTGTTTACTTCATATAGAAAGTAATCTGCATTGAATAATATGCATTATTCAAGATGAGGCCTAAACCAAAAATGGGGGGGGGTGTAGTGTGTGACTTGGCGGGTTAAGCCTCTGTGCCTGTGATTGGTAGGTTGTTGGTTCGAGCCTCAGCAGAATGGTCACCTGTCCATGGGCCCACGAGCAAGGCCCTTAACCCCCATTTCCAGGGGTGCCATAGGTGGTGCTGTGGTCCCCAAGCTTGCGCTCACTTGTATGTAAGTGAGTGTCTCAGGAAGGGCAGGATAGTGTAGGAAAACACTTCCCCAAGGGGATTAATAAAGTCTTACTATTACTACAGCCCTGCTCCTACTTATTCAGTGGTCAGACATTTGAAGTGCTGTTCATACATGCCCACCAGCACTGTTTTGGGTGATATATTTGCCAGGACATTCACTCGCCACCTGCACATGTATACCGTTTCCATGTATCCTCCTGTGCTCGAGCTCGGAGTTTGGCGTGGTTATGTGAATTCATTCGTACAAGCTTCCCACGGGAATCTCACCTGCCTGTAAACTGTGAGCACAGGGCATTGGGGAGCAGCCTGTCCTGCCTACAATCCATGAACAAGATGTGCCTCACGTCATTAAAACCGCAGACTGCTTTGGTGTATATGCATGTATGTACTCCAGCTTTACATGGGAAATGTGATTGCGTTTCTATAATGTAGCCATATGCAGAAGGGACTCCCGTATAAGGCGGAATGCGTTTACTGATGTACATTAAAAAGCCGCCGGCCGCGTTTTACAGGGCAGCTGCATTCAGTTTTGTTGCGCTGAAACGTCCAAATGAATGGATGAATATTGCTAGATACACACCAGCTTTATCTCTGAGCAGTTGAAGTACTAGTCATGTCTAATCACCCTAATAGGTATTTATACAACTGTTTAATACAAGGAACTGTCTCGTCAAGATGCTGTTTTGGCTTGGTGATTCTTTTTGTTAATTCCAGAAGTTTTCGAGACCAATTAAGATTTTTTCAGGTAATAAATCAACCGTTGCTTATACATATTTGCTGGCCAATTGTAACTTACATTTCGGTGAAAACTTACAAAAGATTGCCGTTAAAATGCCTGAGAGGTAATTAATCTCTTCCGGTGGTCGGTTTTTATACTAGTAGTGTGCCGGTTTGGACCATGTATGCCAGTGCTTTTTAAATTTTATTTTACAAAATTAATGCAATTGGTCTAATGTTGAATTAATCTAAAAATGAGAATATGAATTCGGAGATGTACTTGAAGTCGGTGTCCTGTAGGCTCTCAAACATAGAAGCTTTTATACGGGATTGTTTTTTAGAAAATAACGACGCATTATGGTCAAGTTTGCAACCACTTTTAGTTTCGCATACAGAAATAAACGTAGCTTTAAGTTTAAATTAAATATTTGAGAATCTGTTACCGTATTTCTAGTCAGGCGAATAGCATGGGCAGCCCGGCAATGCATCGAAGCGGGGTCCTTGCTGTGTTTCGCAGCCTTTCGCGCATTTCAACATGGCTGCTGTGCGTGCTTGGTCACGGTGATACCAAAGCGGCGTATCCAACCGTAATTCTGGCCGCGATCTATATTTGCCAGAGTGAAATAGGCCCGATCGGGGCCAGAACTGTCGTTGTTCATTCGGACGGAGCAATAAGTGTGATTCGGACGTAACAATAATGCTGTTCGAAACCAACAAAAGCGGGTAAGGTATCCAAGCAAAGGAGAGATGCCTGGGCTTTCGTACTCGTATCACTGCAACGATGCCCTTTTCAGAGCGACGTATGTATCGCGGTCCGCGCAGCTTCTCGGCGTCTCCTCGCCTCTTTAAACGAGCGTCTCCGGGCTTGCGGTGCATTGGCGTCGGCGTGTGCGATTGAGGGCGCTGGTGGCGGTGGGTGCCGCCGGTAATTCATTGTGCCTTGAAGCATGCTTCTTTTGAAATATTTAAGTGGCCAATGCGGTGAGCGTCTGATCTTCGGCGCTTCACTGAGTGGTGCACCTTCTTACTGGATCATAAGTTTCTGCACCCAGTATTCCATTCGTTTTGTTTCATTCCTCGTTATTTCGCGCATGAAAGCTAACATTTTCATTGTTAGTTGTAGTTTAGAAATAAGTGGTTTGATACCGGGTTTACGTTTTGAAATCCTTGACATTTTGAAATGCCCCCCAAATCTCAAAATTCGATTACTATATGTCACTCCATACTTAACAGTTTGGGTAAAATACCCAGTTTGAGTTTGAATGCTTAGTTACGCCATAGTTACTACTAATTTACCCCTGTTACAGCACCCCAATTTCTCATTGTACACAACAGGACCTATTTTCCTTTGCCTTCAAAGCTGGTCTGACACATTCAGTTCTCATTTCGTTTGATTTGAATCACTTTTTACATTCTGTCATCATTGCACACAGGAATCTAGCAGTGCTGGGCTTCGTCTTGTCAGATACAAGCCTGACTTGTTCCTGTGTGCTGACGCTGAGCTCTGTCTTTGTGTCAGGGAGGTGAAGCAGGCTACGGCAGACGTGCCTGCCCCGGATATAGAGGTGGCTTCAGAGAGCAAGGAAGGGCCTGCAGAAGAGGTAAGTGCAATGGGAATGGAGTGGAGGCGTGTAGGGGGGGGGGGGAATGGCACTGTGCTGTGCGAATGCTTAAGCTAGAGCAGTGCTCATGAACACATTTTACAGGTCGCAGACCTCTGCTTCTTCACAGCTAACAGTTATAATGCCTGCAGAATCTGATCTTGATGATTAAATTTTTTTCAATTTCATGGTATGATCAAAGGGCAGTGCTGTAAGCAGGTTGTTCTGTACATTTACTAATGTGCTATAACACATGGACCAGTCTTATCTCTTACCCCCATTCTGATAGTTATATTTTTGCAGCTATTAGTCAGCCCTTTTATAAATCTTGCTTCAGTCACTTGACTCGGACCTTTTCCCCTCCTGCTGCCTCTCCCCTTCATTGACGTTGCCTGCTTTAATAGGATGTCTTTATCCCAAAGAACTTTCAAGTTTTTCCTGCCGCGGGTGTGATCGTGTTATTCTGCAAATATGAGCTGTTAGGGGTGGCAGCAATTAATGAGATTTAACATATTTTAATTGCGTTTCTAACTTTGTTTCATCACTATGAGTAGTTCTGTTGAAGTTTTGTTCCTGTTTTGTTCCCGTCTATACAGATATATTGTTTATTTGGATATTTAAGCAGTTGTCACATTGTTTGTGCCCAGTGTAGGTTCTCGGTGGCAATTCGCCAAATTTCCACTGGTGATTAAAATGTGAATATGACGCATTTATTTCGCCATCATTTCGTCACACCGGTGAAGATCAAACTCACAATCCCGATCAAATAGGTTTTCTGTGTTTGTGTGTGTGTGTGTGACAGAGAGAGACATATTGCTGCGACCTTCACTTGCACCAGTGGGTGGAAACTAGTGTTGGGTTGTTTGTGAACGAGTCGCTGTAAGAGACGCCTCTTAAATAAATGCATGAATGATGAGCAAATGAATGATGAGCAATCTCTTAATCATTCCAGGACCTGTATGATGACGTGCGTAAGGGCTTCACTGAGAGAAAGCGTTCAGAAAGCTTCAGTAGTTTCCTTAATTCATACCAATAAGCACAGCTACCACTCACCACACAGCTGCTACAAACTAGGTTAGCATGGGGGACAAGCCAAAGGGGCATAATACAAAATGTCTGTCCATACATTCCAGATTTAATGCTGACCTTTACACATGCTGTATGTGGTCTCTCTAAGTTAAGAACTAAAGGGTGCTTTGGGGAAGTTGGCATTCTAAGGAAGGAAAAACATGCACAAAAATGCATTCTGTATGTGGGCAAATTGCTAGACAACTCCAGGCTAATTTCCTACAGACACACGGTGTCACGGCCACACACATTTGGTCTATTTTGCATGTGTAGAAGCCGTCCTGTTTTTAGCGTGAGAATGATTTTGTGGCAAATATATTTTATGCATGGTTAAGGAAACTAGTATAGGTAGCCTCATTGGCTAATATTTTAGAATAGCTAGAGAGACCCCTGGTAAGTGATTTACCTGTGTGCATGTTGTGGGATAAAGTATAGTGTTGGAGAATAGGCAGTCAAAAAATCAGGGATCTTTCAAAGCAGCCTGGCCACTAGGGGGCAGTGTCCCTGTGTCTGTTCAGCCTGGACTTAACTTCTGCAGCTGTTCTGACACCTAGAATCCCTGTCTGAGGGGGAAAAGTACAGATAATGAGCATTCTCAAGTTCATCCAGCTCTTTTATAGAGCGCTAGGGGAGAAGTGATCATTACCCTCATCGAAGTTGATCTCTAGCTCTCAGTTCTAATGTCAGGCTGGTTCTGGTCGCTTTTAACTGTCCTTGTTTGCAAGGATCATTTACCGTGTGACTTGGTGATGCCTTTTCATGGCAAATATTTTTCCAAAAGATCTGGGCATTTCGTTTTTCTTTTTAATGCCTTTGACCAGGCAACTTGGGAATGCAGTGCAGTTACCATGGATAAAGTATGACGTACAGCTCGGTCACTTACTGTTTCTGTAATCTCCACATGCAGTGGCACATTCCGCCGTGCCCTGTTCACATTTCTTGCCACCAGTGAGAGCACAAGGCTTCGTTTTCTTCCGGAGGAAGAACTTAAATATGTTGCTGCCAATTAAATTTGAGCATTTCATAAGTGACAGAGTTGCTTGTCCCTTAACATAAGTCCAAGTAGAGGAGACCTTATGAAAGGCTTTAATCCTGTGTTTTCTGTGACAGAGCACTGCACAGCCAGCAGTGATAAAGGCTGAATTCCCATCAGTCAAAGGGAATCGAACTCACAGCTTGGCTTGATCTGGGTTTTGTCTCAACTTGGCCACTTGTGGTTGGATGCTAACTGCCCAGTGTGGTCAGGTATCCTAATATAACTAGTTTTATCATAAGTTTATTTTATTTAAAATTATTATGACAGACTGGTAGATGGTATGATTATTAGGGATTCTTCGAGTTTTTGGGCCTGGTCACTGATTTGCTGATCACTGGAATCAGAATTGACGGCAGTCATAGGGATCTCCCATTTAAAGTGTAACTTCATTATATTAATGGAAACAAAATTGTTCAGTTAAGCTATTGAAGAGAAACTAATAGCTATCAGGCTTGTTTAAAAGGTAGCGATGCTCTGCTTAGATACTGATAACCTATTCCATTGTGTCAGAATTGTATCTAAAAGTGTGACCAATTGTTTTGGGAAGCTAATGGTAGTGAAACTCGTATTTCAAAATCAAACACACCCATACCAGTTAATAGCAGTATTTTAATGAATGGGATTCACTGTAGCAGCTTGTGTCCAGTGACTAATAAACTATTTTTTTACTAGATAATATAATGTGAACTGTGGATACAGGGGGATTACTATACTATTATTTTCCTTATTTCTAAAGGCTACATATGGTAAAAAGATGAAAATGAGGTGGCCTGCTTTAAAGATGAATCTCAAATTAATTAAAATGTTCTCAATATTTAACAAAGTAGTAGCTGCTTACTGCCACAAAAAGGCTCTTGGTGGCAGGTCTATGCTTTTCCTAGAAACACAGGAAGATTTCTTTATTATTAATGGCCACCGATCAAGTGCTCTTAAACTGAAAATAGACCAATTTTAAATAGGCTGCAGACCGATCAGAGCATCTGTAATGATCGTGTGTCTGCCCTGTGATGGACCGACACCCCCTCCAGGGGGAGCCCTTGCCGGGTGCCCTGTGTTGTCTGGGACAGGTGCTAGACCCTGTTGTGACCCTTATCAGGTTAAGTTGCTGATGAATGGCTGCTGTGTAATAGGCTTGATATGCTTTGGTTCACGTTACTGCCTGTCTAGCATTTTCCGGCAATATACCACAATGATCACAGCCACTGCAGTCGAGCCTGACTTATGTTTCTTGGTGCCTGCATGGCTGGTCCTGTGCTGTCAGTCACCGGCTCCAGTCTCTACAGCCCTTTAGACTTTAAACTCAGGCTCAGGTCAGTTTGTGAATGGCAATGATATTCACCTCCTTTATAATTCATTTATATTTTTATATTTAGTGGCTTCATACTTGCCTTTTTGGGGCGATAACATCATCACCAAGGTGGTTCACATAAGGTCGGGCTTCGGCTGTGCTGACCGCTTGGAATTCCCTCCCTGATGTGGGAATCTTGAGTGCATCGGTTCTGGTTTTGCGTTCTGCGTTCTGCGTTCGTGCTCTCCCGTTTTTTCCTGTGATTGGAAGATCACCAGTTCGAGCCCCGGCCTCGACAGAACAGTCACATGTCCGTGGGCCCTTGAGCGAGACCCTTAACCCCCCCCCCAGCTCCTAGGGGTTACGTACGTTGGCTGACCCTGTGCTGTGACCTCCAACTATGTAGAGCAAAATGGGGCAGGAGAAGAGAATTCCAGTGTACCTGTGCTTGTACTTCTGCACATGGCGAATAAGGCATTTATCATACTGCGTTTCCCTCCCTTTTAGAGCGCCACAGCGAAAACATTCCCAGTCCGCAAGATCTCACTGAGCGGTGAGTGTCCCGGCCGTTTTTTGTGCTGTCACTCTGTCACACAAGCAGCCTTTGGATGCTCAGCCTCTGCCCCCTTCCCCCGTCCCCCAGCGGGCGGAAAGCTGTCCCCGGGAGCCACCCCTGCAGCGACACCCCCGGCCGCCCCCCTCGGCTCGCCGACCGAGGCGGACTCTGGTGCTTTGGCGGGGAGGAAGAGGAGATGGGGCTCCAGTGCTGCTGTCACTGCCAAGAAGCCTTCCATTAGCATCACTACAGATTCGCTGAAGGTGAGGCGTGGCTTATATGCAGTTTATTCCAGGTTAATGGTTACGATGGCAACATTTAGCATATAGCCAGCTCGCTTGTGTTTATCTGCATCGGTGTTTCCATGCATGACGCTTATGGGGCATTTCCCACAACCCCCTGCTGTACAGCGTCCGCATTCGCCGGCATACATTTTACCCGCCGGTCCATCGCAGCCACGCCGGCCTGCAGACACACAGTTAGCCGTTAGCGCAGTCATTCAGGCCCTGGCGGTGCTTGCAAGGACGTTTTCGCTTTTGCCTGATTTGCACCTCTCCTGATAACTGCCCCACCTCCCCCGTCCCCTTTAGTCCTTGATCCCAGACATCAAGCCCACAGGGGGGCAGGAGGCCGTGGTGGAGCTGCATCCGGATGAGGGCCGGCTGTCCGGGGACGAGGAGGTCGCCGAGCAGGAGGAGATGGGAGAAGCCGAGCTGGACAAAGGACTAAAGATCCAGCGAACCGTCACGCAGGTTGGACGCCTTCCTGGCGGTCTGCCCCGGCCGTGTCCATGACCCCTCTGGTGTGACGTGTGATGTATTTCAGATACTCTGTGTGATTAATACCCTCCCCCTCCATCTCGCTTGTTCCCGCTTCCTCCAGTCAATGCTGGGCACTGGGTGCTTTGATTCCAATACCAACATATCTTCATTCTTTAATCCTTGTATATATCTGTTTTATTTATAATGTTTCTTGCCTATGTGCTACTCATTTTATATATATAATTTTTTTTGACTTGGCATCTACTGGCTTGCTTCAACTGATATTTAATTGTATTTCTACGATGACAAAAGCCATCTTCTCCCCCTCCTCCTGTTCGCCCGCCCCTCAGGTGGTTTCCGCTGAAAGCCAGGAGAATGGACAGGAGGAGACGAAGAGGGAGGAGGACAGGGAGCCTCCCGAGATGGAAAAGAGCCAGGAAGAGTCCAAGGAGGAGAAGGAGGAGGAGATCTCCCTGCCGGTGCCCATGGAGATGCCAGCCCCCACGGCCGCCTGTGAGGCTGAAATGAAGGGTGAGCTGGGAAGGTCGATTCAGCCGGACCAGCTGTGCAGAAGCATGTCCACGGTCCATTTTCGGCGCTCTGCCCGTGTCTTTCTTGCTCATTGCCCCGTTTCCCTGTTTCTCAGTGCCACCCAGCGATACGCTGGTGCGCCGCTCTATCAGCCAGCAGAAGTCGGGCGTCTCCATCACTATAGATGACCCACTTCCCAGCACCAAACAACCTTCACCCCCCCGTGGCAAAATCACCAACATCGTCCACGTCTGTAACCTGGTGAGAAGCAGGATGCCGGCCACTCCGTTGCTCGGCAACGCGAGGGCACCCCCTTATGGCGTATTCCCCGGCAGCAGCGTGACGTCACCCCATTCCTCATCTCTGTTGTAGGTGAGGCCGTTCACCTTGGGCCAGCTGAAGGAGCTGCTGAGCCGCACGGGCACTCTGCTGGAGGAGGACTTCTGGATCGACAAGATCAAGTCGCACTGCTACGTGACGGTGAGGCCTTGATCCCGCATCCCCTTGATCCTGCCCACTCCTCCGTCCTCTGCACCTCCCCCATGTTCTCATACCAGCCCCATCTGCCCTGTCTTTAGTACTCCAGCACAGAGGAGGCGCTAGCCACAAGGTCTGCCCTCCATGGGGTGAAGTGGCCCCAGAGCAACCCCAAATTCCTCAGTGTGGACTTTGCAGAGAAGGATGAGGTGAGTAGGCTCCTCCTGGTCTGGCCGCGGAGAGGCTATGCCACGCCTAGCTTTCCGGTGCTGAGGTGGCGTTTCTCAACCCGGTCCTCAGGGACCGCGATCGGCCCACGTCTTTGCTGCTCCTTCCCAACTCCGGTCTGAGAAACATTAAAGGCTGCCATAATCCTTCTGAAATTTATGCATATACATTTTTTTGAGCCGGTTCATTAGGCAAAGTGTAATTAATCCCCGCCCCCCCCGGCCTTTGCTCGGCAGCTGGATTTCCACCGTGGCCTTGTGGTCCCAGAGCGTGGCCCCGGTGAGGAGCCTCCGGGGCCCACCGCACGGCCCCCGGAGCGTGACCAGCGGGCAGAGCGTGAACGTGAGATGGAGCGCCGGGAGAGAGCCCGCGGCGAGCGCGAGTGGGACCGCGACAAGGTCCGGGATTTCGGCCGGCCCGGCGAGGACAGGGAGGGCGCTGAGCGGCGCTCCCGGTCACGGGACCGAGAGCGGAGGCGCAAGGAGCGCGGGAAGAGCAAGGAGAGAAAGGCGGACAAGAAAGGTGTGTGGGCTTGAAGGACATGGCATCTGGCTGACTTTGCAGTTCTGGACCTGTGTCTTACCGGTATGTGTTTTGCAGAGAAAGCTCCGGAAGAACCACCAGCCAAACTGCTGGACGACCTGTTCTACAAGACCAAAGCAGCCCCTTGTATATACTGGCTTCCCCTCACTGATGAACAGGTATGGTGAATTTTTTTTTTTCAGGTGGGGAGCATAGGAGGGGCCAAAATTCATACAGAGGTACCAACCTGATCAACCAATGATACGTTTTGATTCGGTTAGTGACTGGCAAAAGTGGCCAGTCAGCTTTGAGCTGAGGGTATTGGCCCCGCCCCTGGTCATTGTTAGACACACAGTTGTTTCATGGCATCTGCTCTCTGCTATAGGTGGTACAGCGAGAGAAGGAGCGTGCGGAGCGCATGAAGGAGCGGGAGAAGCGGCGCAAGGAGATGCAGGAGGAGGAGGAGAGGAAGCGGGAGGAGGAGCGCAAGGAGAGGATGAAGGGGCGTGAGAAGGAGGCAGGCGGTGGAAGCGGGGCGACGGAGGGGGGTGGCCGGGGGGATGGAGAGCGGGAGAGGGAGCGTGGCCGGGAGCGGGACAGGGAACGGGAGCGGGACGGGGAGAAGAAGAAGGAGGCGCAGCGCAGCAGAGGTGGAGAGAGCCGAGCAGCAGGGGGCAGCAGCGGGGCCCGGCGCTCCCGCAGCCGCAGCAACCCCCCCAGTCGGGACAGACGCCACTAAGACTCTGAGCCCCCAGCGCTGCGCCGTGTGGCTTCAGGAAAAAGCGCGACTCTGTTAACAGCCTCTGCGTGCCGCCGCCCTCACCTTGTACAGTCCTGCTGCGCCCGCCCGCCCGCGCCCTCACACACATGGTCTTAAGTCCCTGCACCCCCCCTGACCCGCACGCATGAATGCCACATGCCTCTTCCTCCTCAACAGCACAGACCACACTGACCTTCACGTCCCACCACTGGGAGGGGCCCTGTTATGCCCCAGACTGCCCCCTCCTCCAGCATTCAGACATACAGTGTAGCCGGTGTGAGGCTCCCTGCCGGTGAGCCTCATGGCGTGTTCTGTCTGCTCATGTGTGCTTGGGCAAAGCATTCGCTTTGGGTGTGTTCAGCGCCGCCACCAAACCCCATCCCCCCCCCCACCCCCACCCCCAGCACCCAAACCTTCAGAGCACGTGTGTGGTTTCCCACCACACCTTCCCGAGGGCAGACACACTCAGCTGCGGAGCCCTGTCTGGAGAGAGACTTCCGGCTGGCCCACATTCCCTGTCCTGCAGGGGGCGCTCTGAGTCGCCGGCCTTCGTGCGGACGCTTACCGCACGCTCGGCTCGCTCCAATGCCGCGGCTGCGTCCTCTCTGCTGTCGCTGTGGCCTGAGCAGAGACACAGAACCCCTGGCATGAGATGCTGTTTCCATGTTTTTTTTTCCCCCCACCCCCTCCTTATCAGTAACCCCCTCCCCCATTTCCAGAGTTTCTGTAAAATCCGTATGCCCCCCCCCCCACCCGTCAGTATCAGCTATGAGAATGATGGACAGTTGTGCCAGGGGTATCTGGGGATGGGTGAGTTTAACCTCCATAAATGAAATGACTTTTAATATTTTTAATTTTATAATTTTAGTATGAAATTTTGATTTTTTTTTTTTTTTTCCTGTAAGTGCTGAATGTACAAAGAATAAAAATGAAATTTAAAGACTTTCGCCTTTGGTGGAGCATGGATGTATGAAGCAGTGCCGTTCACGTGAACTTCCGACAAGCACACCCCCACCTCAGACATCAGCACAGCCCCCACTGCACCCAGCACCTGTGCTGACAAACATCCTACTCACTGCCCAGGCACACCTTGAACACCTACCATTCCTCCCAGAGAAGCATTAGGACCTCAATGCAGAGCCCTCTCCAGACATCACAGGCTCCCCTGTTGGGAACAGATACACAGACCTCACACGGTTTGAAGTGAGCCAACTACTGGACTACAAAGCACATGACATAATGTGCATGCAGCCTGAAGTGATCCTGGTATCTGATACCTTGGTAAAGCCAGTAAGAGACGAGGTGACTGGAACCCAGCCCACCCCCTGCAGGCTCTAGTGCTGGGAGTCAACACTGGATCTGACCAGTGTGAACAAGCAGTGTAACCTGAGTTATAGGTGGTTCCTCAGCTCTGGCGAGTCGCAGCTCGAAGGAGAATTGCGCTGCTTAACTGGTATTTTTGTGAGAACCCTTTTGTTTGTTTCCCACCCCTAGCTGTCTCCCTTTTCTGAAGTGAAAGGAACTTGGTCTCACGTGATTGGCTTTGGGTTCCTGCTTGCTTTGTATACAAAGTAAGATTTCATCTGGATTTGGGACAGGAATGATGAAAATCAGACAAAAATTACAGGAATTTCAGCAATTTGTTTTCTAATGCAAACTACTTGATTCATGACAAAACGAAACATAAAATTGCAGCAAGTGCCAAGACGACAGCAGTTTTTAAAAAGTTGATGTGCATGATACATGTGGAAAATTATGGAAAGTCCATTGAATAATACATTTTATATCCCCGGACGTCGGGGAGAAGATACAGGTTTTCTGGCTCTAGAAACAACAATGCCTCTGGCGTTCAACACAACCGGATGGTTTAAGTCTGTCACGTGTTCCGAGTGAAGTTGTGCCGCATTTGTAGGGGAAAGGTCATGTACAGAGGGGGGGACGCAGCACCACCAACGGCGCAATAAAGGAATTTCAATCAGCCCAAGGCACTTGAGGGCTTTACAGCCTTTCTTTGTAAAGGCCTTCAGCTTTTTGTTTTCTGCTGCACAGAGTCTGCATGGCCAGCAGGTGTCAGCACAGCGACATTTCCTGACACCATTTAAAGCCACCATTTTATGTCAAGATCAAAATAGCAGGACATCTCCAAAAGGCAGTTGTGCTGAAGAGTTTACCTCCCAGTTTCGTACTGGATGTTTGAGCACTTATGACCTATTGTTGCAATATGATTGTGTGCTTCTTTTTGTCTCTGCATCGCTGTGTTTCCATAGTATTCTATGGGTTCTTAGACTTAAAGCCAGTTTTTCCTGGGTGTATGTGAGGGGAAAAATGAGTTGAGGTGGAAAATATGGTAAAGCTGATGTTACTATGGTGAATCGATATATTGCTTTCCTAAACTTTTTCGCAGACACTTGCTCGCCTTTTCCTCGGTGTGCAGCTCAAATGAAACGGAATAAATGGAACCTGAGCTTTTGGCTCTATCTGCTTAAAAATTTATATGCGAAACGGTGCACGCCAGACTCCTATTAATGTGCTATAACGCTGCAGTGCTAATGCTAAGATTACAGTTTTGTCGCTTAGCCCATCCAGGCCCTGTCCGCCGCTCCCCGCTACTGCCTTCGTCTTCCCTTCCTTCCTCTCTGCCCGGGACCCATTGTATTTGCGTCTTCCTCTTCTCACTCGGCAGCTTGGGTCCGTCACTCTTCCTGCCGAGCTAAGCAGCGTCCCCCTGTAATTATCACTCGGTTGCTGAGTTATGCATTTTTTCTACCTTATGCAAAATACTCTGCAACCCAGCGTGTCCGGGTCAGGCTGGGCCGCCTGTCCTACCCTTAGCCATTAAAGACTTTGGCAGAAAAATATGGGTTCTGTTGTTTTTTTTTTGTTTAGCCAGATAAAAGGAGTGTTACATAAATGCTCCCCGTGCATCTGTTGTGAAGAAGAAAAAAAAAAAAAAAGTTGACTGAACATTTCAACATTAAGGGCTTCATGTGGTTATGGGGGAAAATTGGACTACCCCCCCCCCCCCATAAATGCACTTTAGCAGTATTTGAATACTGAAGGGAGCTTGTGGCTGACACTGTAACACAGGCTCGAGGCTTGCCTCTGTAATATGACACACATAAGTCAATATTGGTGAGAGGGTCATGTGTTCCTGTTTTGTTTTTGTTTTGATGATCTCGTATGTCCTGCAATAGAAGAAATAAAGACTACAAAACAGTCTTCCCTATGATTTGGTTTGCTGAGCCAAGGTAGACTGAGTCCATTTGGACGTTCTGGAGGTAGGTGGTCTCTTACCATGCCTACTGGTGGTATGTGCCTTCCTTTTGGGACCTCCCCCAAGCTCAGTCTATCTACCTCAACTGGCCCTGAAAACCAGGTGCTCCTGAGGTGGCCCCTGTCTGGCTCATAACGTCAGACCCCCCCGCCAAATCACTCTCGGATGTGGCATCTTTGGTCTCGCCTGGAAACCCCCATCCATCTCTCTCACCCTCTTCCTGCTCTTTGCTCTGCGTCCTTAAATGTGAACCATATGCTACTTACCGTGTTCAAGGAAAGGTTGAGGGTGGGGCGAGTGAGGTGGGGGCGCTGTAATACACTCCATTAGTGGGGGTGGGGGGGCGTCTGATGTGGCCTGGAAGTTTATAAATAGCTCCATGTTAGAAGTGCTGGCTGGCCGGAACAGGGTTTTGCGGGGGGGGGGGGCAGGTTTCTTTGTTGATATGACTGGGTCAGGTGAAGGTGTCTGGCCGGGATTTGAATTGGCGGGGCAGATCTGATTCAGCAACAGTAGTCACATCCTGATTGGTTTGGGAAGCTGCCGGAGACGGTCCAGATGTTGATTGTTTGACTCCCTACAATGTGTATTAAGTTTCTGTTATTCTGAGGAAAGGCAGACTTCATACCCCAACTGAACAAGTAAATGATTAAAAGCCACATGGATCGCTGAATAACAAAGGTTTACTCATAAAAGTTTAACACACAATGGTTTATTTGCCGTTTCCGGAGTGGGTTTTTCCGACAGTAGTGACCCTGAAGGCATATTAATTCCTTGCCAGAGCAGTGAGGCAACAGTATTGGAATGAAATTTCCTGGCCTTCCTCATTCCTACCCTGACACCATGGTTGTGGTTGTGAAGTTCACGATAAGGACTCTTCGCAGGGTCTAACAGTTTTGACTGAGACTCTGCTTCTAATCTTTGATGGAGGAGAATAGATGAGTGAAGTTTGTGTATTTGTGATCTGCAAGAGGTGCCCAGGCAAGCCAAACGTAATTAGACACATGTGGCGTACATTCATATGTCTTTCAGCAGTACTTGCATTCAAAGATCTTTATTGGCGTAAAATATTTAAGCTACTTATTTCCAAAGCGCAATGTTTATAAGCATGTTAAGGAAGTCACCAAATTTTACATCAGCCCTTTTCCTCTTTACGATGCAGAAAAGGATGGTAGGTATTTTATGAAAACTTCCAGGTGACGTGGATCTGTGGAACTCAGGCAGCTGTCTGCCGCGCCAGTGCATCGCAGTGAAACGGGCTTAGCTGTGAGGCGGCCGTGAGTGTTTGACTAGTGAAAATATGCAGGGAAATATGGTGGAGGCCAGAGATGAATTCTTTTGAGGAAGGTGAGACACCGATCAGCTGACAGCCAGAGAGGGGGGGGGATGAGGGAGAGAGACGACGTGAGGGATATAGGGAGTGCAGGGAAGCGGAGGAAGAGCTGGAAACCCGACCCTCGGAAAAAGGGACAGCATAGGAGAAAAAAAAGTACTGGTATGGATAAACCAGAGAGGTGGAGGTACAGAAGGGGGGGGGGGTGTTCAGTTCAAGCTAAATCACAGACACAGTGATAAACACATTGATGGGAGGGGTGGGGGGGGAACTGTACCCCAAAGTGAAATAAAGTATGAAATTAGGTCAAGTGGGGAGAGGAAAAATTGGCAGTGGTGGGGGGGGGTGGTGCTAGAGAGGGGAAAAGAATAATTTTGTGGTAAAATGAGTGTTTTCAGTTAAAAGGCATTTAGCAAGGAAGTAAAGACTTTAGTTACAAAGGCGAGAGAGAGAAGGACGGGGAGAGCAGAGCAGCAGCGGGTCAGCTGGAGAAAAGTGCTGAGCTTGTTTTTCAGACTGCAGAATCAGCGGGGAAGGGAAGGGGACGGACGCGAGCCGCCCGCGGGGACTACGGCGCGCGGCTGGGGCACGTTTGCACCGGCGGGGGATGAGCGCGGTTAAATGCGCACACACATGCGCTGCAGGAAGGCTGCGGCGGGCGCACACACCGGCTTCCCACTGCGTGTGTGTGCGGCTATACAAGATGCTGAAGGAATTCCAGCTGTTTTAGATTAAATTCTGCTGGATATCTGCCTCTCTAGCAAGTTATTCTACTGACGACTCTCCTAACTCTCCACCTACCCCCCAAACCTCGAGTCTTGTGACTCCTGACCTCCATCCAAGGAAATCCAAAACAACTCCCGGCCCCTCCTCCCCTCACCTCCCCGAGATTCCTCTGGTGAAGGGCGCCAGTGTGAATTGCAGTGCCACAGGCGGTGGCCTGACCCGTTACGGCGTGCCCGTGCCAGTCCACCGAAATACGCTGTTGCCCTCGGTGCCAAGCGCTTGCCCAATTATCATTCTTGGTTTCATTTAGAACTTGGGCTTGGTGTTCATTTTCCAACCTACTTTTAGTGCTGCCAGTTTCCACATACTAGCATGAAACGGGAGATGAGATCTTGAATTAACAGCGTGGCCAGAAAAGATGGAAAACAAGACGAGAACAAATGTGGAGAAAAGGGTCATTTTTTTTTTTTAAAGGGTGCAGAGGAGATGTGAAAAGGCCAGCACTGTGACTAAAGCTGTCATGTGATTCAGTTTGGATTCTTTGGGGGAGGTTACATGACCTCAGATGACCAATAATCT